CCAAAGCTAAAATGAGCTGCTCAGCAGCAGCTGCTAATTTTTTGTGGGGAAATTAAGTTAATTTTTGCAATTCTCTGCAAAATGCACAGTGGCATTACACACGTATCACTCTACATTAATGAGTGAGCAGAAACAATGAATACATGCATGCACATCTACAGAAAAACCCCGTCATCAGAGCTTGGAAACATTACGGACTGTTTCGGCACACACAGGTTTGACCAAGCCACAGACCAAAATGTTCTTTCCAGCTAACATTCAGAGGGAAGTTTGGCATCTCGCACTACTACCGTAACTAGACACACAAGTTCAGGGATATGCTGAAACCTTCTTGCTTTACCATGACAGGCATACCTGTTCCAAGGTTAGCTGCTTTGAAATGGTTTCATTCTCCATCTTCTTGATCTTTTTCATGAGCTTGTTAACCTGGAACTCCTGCTCCTGCTCCAAGTGCTGCTCCAACTCTGCCTTCTCATGCTGGAGCTAGGATGGAAAAGGGTGGATAGTTCATGGAGAGAAAAAGAAGAGGAGGTGAAATGAGAGAAAAGGGAGAGGAGCATGAACACAAGAAGACACTCATGGTGAGTCACACAAAAACTATTTGATGACCACGATGAACAAACACACAGGGGTCAGATAACTTCGCTGACACATTGAGAGTATAGCAAAACAGGAATCCAACTTTATCTGATTCATGGTCAAACTTCCCAGAGGAATAAATAGTGTAAAATAAGGATTTGGCAAACAAAGTAACCACCTTTGGCAGCTCGCCAATACAAAGAAAGGGTGCGGCTCCAGCACAGACTCAAAATGGGACGGTTGTGTGATGAATTATATAAGTGATTACTCATTATGTGGAAAGGGAATGCAAATTCATTAATAGGAAAAGTAACCATTTCCATTATGTTACAAGCAGAACTAGAACACCTCAAACAACGCAGTTTGTTTTTACTTGCTGCATTCATACAGAGTTGAGTGCTCTGTAGTATACTGGGTGAAAGAACAGACCACCAAGTTTTGCCACACCCTGTGCAGCAACTTTTCTTTTAATTAACACTAACAATTTTAGGAATTGTTTTGATAATGTGCCTCCTTCAGGCAATACAACTAACAGCTATTGTATAACAGGACTCCACCCCACTGTACACTGCGCCTATGCCAAAGTCTGTGTGAAAATATATCTGCTCACTTTTAGCCTATGGATACCTTGCAAAGATAGTTTTTCCCCACTGTCCTTCAAGCAGAGGCTGTTTGTGAGCAACTCCACAGTGGCAATATGCTCCTGTGTTTACATACATTTGTTTTTCCCCTTCATTATCTCATGCATTAATAGCTATTAGGTCAAAATAGTTTTAAACATTTTATCAGCTTCCTCTCTAAAAAGAAAAACCCATACTGGCAACTTAGAAGATCAGAAGGCATTGATTCAAATCCCCGCTAAGGCACTTGAATCATTTGGCTCTCAAGTTTAGACAACTTAAGTGAAAAGTCCATCATCAAAGTAATGATGGAGGAAACACAGGTCAGAAAAAATTGTTTTTACGAAAATTCTTCAGCACAGGAGCATTTACACACACAGTAAAATAAATTACCACGTTTGCTCAATTCTCCCACTGTCATCAAAAGAGTATAACACATGCACATGTATACACACACACACCATGGGATCATTTGTCAGCAACAAGTCTATGGGGAGAGGCAGACACAGGCCTGTTTCAGGTAAAGTACGAAGGTATGATAACAAAAGCCCAAACAAGTCCATCTATATGACTTTAAGCATGGTCTGCTGAGGCACATGTGTCCCTCCTAGATTCCCACTTCTTTACACATTAACAAACCATTAGTCAGCCTACAGCTAACCATTGAAAGTGTGAGAGTGTGTGTGCACTCTGCAGTTGGGAAAATAAGATGTGGAAAACAGACTGAAGCAAATAACCAACAGACGGGAGGAGTAATTTGAGAGTAATTTAGAGTAGCTAGCAGCCGCAGTGAAGTCATCTTGAGGCTTCAGGCAAGTACCAGTACATTTGATGATAATGCACAAGCTGCTGTGCACTCATACATTGGGTTGTGTGCATAGACATACACTCAGTGAGCTCAAGCTGAACGCACTTGACAATATACTGCAGCCAAAATTTTGCATAATTGAGAATTAAGAAAACATCTATGTACCACAGCAATTAGTGTCATCAGTATAATAGGTCAAAAAGGGTGAACATTCAAACTGATGTTAGATTATTCTCCATTATTCCTGGTATAAACAACTACAACCACTGAACTAAAAATGGGTATTGCTAAATGTAAATGTCCTTTCTTGTTCCCATCACTCACTTGCATTAGTTTCCTTGACAGTTCATTGGTGAGAAATTCCTCCTCCTTCTCATAGTTGACTGCCAAAGTCTCCTTCTCCTTCTGAAGGGCCTGGATCTTCTTGAACAAGGTGTTGCTGATAAACTCTTCCTCCTGCTCTGCTCTTGCTTGCTGCGGGACAAAAAGAAATAGGAGGGGCAGAGGCAAACATCAGTTGAATAGACTCTTAGATCTGGCACATCAAACTCTTGGATTTTCACATTTACCCTGATTAAACCAATAGCGCATGTAGGAACAATGCAGACACACCAAAATCTGCTGCAGTGAAAGTCTGCCAGCCAAAGAGGAAGCAGAATTTTCCCTAATGACTCAAGACATTGCAGTAATGGATGACTTACGGTGAGGGGAAGAATGAAACATGGGGGCACTAAGGAAATGTGTTGGGGCAGCTACAACAGTTAGCATTACAGTGTGATGATACGCCTGTCCTTGCAGTCTCAAATTCTCCACCCTCATTCTTCACTGACCTCTAAGCTGCATTCTGTTTTGAAAGCTGGGATAATTTGTCAGTTGTTGGAGAACAATGTGAGGGACAAGAAAAAACTAAACTGCTAGTTAAGCTTCACACATTTACAAAGGGTGGACAGGGTGCAGTGTGGCCAACTTGCCAACATATGAGCCTGTCATTTAGCTAGCTGGCTATGTTTGGCCTACATACTTCCCATCTATCCAAGAGATCGGCTACACATTTGTATGAATCTAAGGCTGATTAACCGTGCACGAAGACATATGATGCAATGGCCCATGCCAATGCTGCTGCAGGACTAAACCTATTGATTTTCACTAACGTTAAGTTACCGTAACGTTATCCTTGTTGGACATAACGTGCCAAATCAGCTGACCAAATAGCTTACATTAGTTCGGTAACTTGCATCATGAGGTGCCCACCTATTTTTAACGCCATTTAACTTGACGTTAAGTTAACCGCTGAGCTAACGTTAGCCAAGATTAGCGACACAAAACAAAACAAAGCACAATAGCTGACTATCACAGCCCAGCCACCTAGCAAACGTTAGCCCGCTGGCTAAGTTAGCAACATACCTAACGTTAACTGGCTAATGTTAGTACCGTTAGACCTAACAAAACACCACAGGGTTTTCTTTCAATACATATATCATTTACATTTAACGCATTAAGTCCGTTTACATTTACAATTTAGCACTAAACAAACAACACCAGTCATAGCTAACTTACTGACAAATACAATATAAGAAGTAGCGTGGGGACCGCATCTAGCTAGCTAGTTAGCTAGCTAACGTTACTCACAATGGTGACGCTAGCTTTGCGGAGGTCCCGATTCTCCTCCTGCAGGGCTTTGCATTTGAGTTTGAACGTCTCAAGCTCAATTTTAAGAACTTTATTCTCTTGTTGTAACGAGGCAAGGCGGTTCGTCAGCTCCTCCAAACGAAACTGTGAAATCACTATGCTCGGTTTCCCCGAATTTGAAGCGGAGGACGACATAGGGGTGGCCGAGCTGCTCCCCGCTCCGTCGGTGTCGCTCTCACTTGCGCTGTCCGCCATGGTTGTGCGACAGTGTGGAAGATGACGGCAGCTGCAGCGTTTGAGGAGCGCAGAGAGCAGAATGGTACACCGTGTGACCTTGCTCACGCTTGACGGCATAGCGCCACCATCAGGATGTCTCCAGTACCGCCCAATGCATCCTTGACACACTTTAACTTTGATAAATCTTCATCAACTATATCCAAGAAGACTGGATCCCCAACCTAACGAAGTGGTCATATGATCTGGGATCCTAAACACTGTATCAGTAATCTTGTCTACCCGTCTTTTAGAGGAACCCATGCCTGCATGCTGGATATTCCTAAATACATTTGTGTTTTATCAAAGTACCACAAAGAGGGAGATAAAAGAGGGGGTACCCAGAAAAGGGATTATCTTGCAATGACTATGGCCACATAAGGATGATGTGGGAATTTGCTAAAGAGTAAGTAAGTGGCAGAGTATTTGTCTTTTTGTTTTCTACCCCATCATCACAATTAATTGGAGAGCATCACTAGTATGCCTATTAATATTTTATCAGTAACTGCAAATTAGTGTTATCATCTGCATAAATATCCACAGTGTGCTAATTATACATATGAGAGGCAAGACTTGATGGGACTGCTTTGAATTAATTATTCCATCAGAAGGTAGAGCGGGTAGTCCACTAATCAGCGTTGGTGGTTAAATCCCCAGGCTCCTCCTGTTCACATGTCTTAGTATCCTTGGGCAAGACACTGTAGCCCAAGTTGCTCCTGATGGTCAGGCCAGCACCTCACATGGTAGCTCGCTGCCATTGTTGTGAGTGACTGGTTGAATGAGAGGCAAATTGTAGAGTGCTTTAGGATAAAAGTGCTATATGAATGCCGTCCATTAATTACAATTTCACAGAACACAGAAATCAGCAATATCCTCATGGGGAAATCTTGCTGCCTGGCCCCAACAAGGCATTCCAAGCATTTAAACATGCAGCCCTGGAGATTTTTGGCGCAAGGACACTTTGGTGGGAAAGAAGCACATAACTCTGGTTGAAGGGCAGTGTCTCTCATCATAGAACTACTCTGCTGCCATTACATTACTAAACTAATAAAAAATGTTCAAGGACACAAAGACAAGAACAGAAACATTTGTATTGCGAAATCAATGCATTTTATTTTTTTATTTTTAGGTAGATTTTTTTTAAAGACGTCTGAAACATTTGTGGTGGCATCATTGCTGCTATAGCCTCTAAAAGACCTTTAATAACCAAAGTGCTAGAATAGTTACATTTCAATGGCTTCACTCTGTTAGTAAGAATTGTACATCAAAAAATCTGCTCAGGTGAAAACACATATTAAACAAAATTGACAAAATTGATAGTTCAACCATATCAAAGGATCCTCTACCCCCTGATTGACATAGTAGTTTAAGGGGATGTGGTACAGCACCCTACCTGACTTCCTTTAACCCGTCCCTGTCCCAAAAAAAAGTTACATAGTTTTCATGTCCACAGCATAGACATCAACATACTGAGCCATCGCACCAGTAGAACACCACACTTGAACTACATGGGCATCTAATGAAAACCAATGCAAAGATAATTCCTAATGTAATGTAAAATAAAAGTCAAATTTTGGAGTGAAAACAATTCTATTCGACACTGCATATACAGACTCTCAAGCCTAAAAAGATCACACAGTTTCAGAGTTAAACACAATTTATTTAATGCTTAAATAATTCTTGTTGACCATCCAGTGTTTTTGTCATACAATATGCTATTTTGAGCTACAATCAAAGAATATCTTTGTGTCCTTAATGTGAGTAGATTTTAAATTAAGGAAATACTTCACCAAAGAATTGAAAATTAAATGCCCCAGTTTTCCTTAAATACCACAGCAGCTGTTAGAAAACCAAATTGACACACTGCTAAAATGATTATAAACAGTCTAACAGTGTACAGAGACTCCTACACCTTATAGCCAATACGCACAATAAAGTTATAATTTTACAGCGAATCAGCCTACTAGCATTTACATTCAGATTATTTCGTTCTTGTAGCAGAAGCTGCCCTCCGTTTTTACATAAACAGACAAGACATCACACCCTCAAGAAGCTATAGAACTTTTTTTCATCCTCACCCCAAACATGATAAATGTTTTCATGGTACCCTTTTTCAATTTAAAATATAAAACTGGTGACAAATGTTAGGGCTATATGTGTACACAGATAAAGGGTTTTATTTGTCATTTGAATACAGTGTTTGCAAACTTGTAAAAATTGTACTTAAAATAATGTGAACAGCATGCATGAAAATATGAGAACTCTGAAAGGCTGCTTTTTGTAGGATTAGATCCATTCCCACTTTGGGAATTACTGAAATCTGATTTTCTGGAAATTTCCTTTTAAAACCAAACCAGCTATTTTTTCATGTACAAACATTATACCTGCTCTAATAATTAATTATACAAGAACCTGTGAAGTTAAACTCAGATCTTAAAAAGGGGAACCGTTTCAATACAGTTTGAAAGCACTTGAAAAGGTTACTCTCCTCAGTGCATTCTCAACCAGTAACTTGCCCTTTTTTAAGAATTTTACACATTGTAATTTTATATACAGAAAAAAGCTTTTGTGTTAGTTTAAGTTTTAAAAAGAGGAAGGAAGAAAAAAAATTCCAAAACAATTTACATCCTGACAACAATGGGTTTAAGAAAAAACTATAAGGCGAGTGTTGAAGTTGGATCAGAAGTGTTCCATTAGATTTTTTGTGTTATTGTGTCTACTTCTTTCCACCCACCACGTGGACTGAGCTCTTGTGCCATCTTTGGTCACAGTTGCACATCTGTGGTTGTCAGTAAGGGAGTCTATTTTGTTTTCACAACAAACGATGCTCCTCAAAAAGCTCTCACAACACCAGTGGGCCGATGGCACGTATTGTTTCACACAAAACAGGAAGCAGAATCATTGTCCACGGGTCCACCACTGTCAGAAAGTGGGAACCTCCCGGCCCTTTGATTGAGAGGAGGTGAGTTTTTCATGCTCATGCTTAAGTCAGAAGGGTCGACTCCTCTCACGTGAAAACCATTAGTTTGAAGCAGATTATTGAAGAATGGACCCTTGCATGAAGTCCTCACACTAGAACTCTCCAGTCTTCTGAACACTCATTCCCAGGAAACATCTTACTTGGTTCCTGTATATCTGTTAGACACAAAATAGTATGTCACATACTGTAGCACATTTACTGTAACTGTTAACAAGTTTATAGATTACAATGGCCCGGAATAACGTGAATGCCATAAGTTTTCTAATATCTACAAATGTACATCATCTTGAAAGGAAATATTATCTTCAGTTACAAATTCAATTCAATTCAAAGGGCGTAACATTTCTCTCACAAAAGACTATTTTATGTGTGAAAAGGTTGAAAAGGATGCAAAAAACTGTCACGATCTTCCATTCCTTTGCATGACAAAATGACAACATGTTAAGACTTGTATCAGTGGGTTGTTATGGTGACCTCTTGTTTTAATATATAACAATTTGCCAGACTTCACAGTAGTGCCATATAATTTCTAAATCAGTTTAGTACAGATGGAATGATTCACTGCAAACATAAGAGTGAACAGCAGTAGGGATTAACAGTCTGGCCAGTGGGATAACAAACTCCTTTTGGGTGCTACAATGCTATTGTGAGATGGGGATTTAGTGGACAAATACAGGCATGGAGGGTATCAGTGGGGCAATATAATGCTGAGGCGTGTGTGTGTCAGCCCCATTCCCTAATCACACACACTAAGTGAACACGGAGGGAAGACATGTTGCCAGAGGATAACCAGGCTCAGACATCTGTCAGCCTTTTGCACTGAGTGACAGTGAGACAGAGCAACTATCTGGGGAGGGGTTAATTAAAGGAATGGTTTGACATTTTGGAAAATACTTTTATTTGCTTTCTTGTGCGAGTTAGATGAGAGTTAGTTTTTACATTACGGTTTGTGTATGAAATAAAACGTGATAGTCATTTTTTTGAGCTTTGGAGAGATTCAAGAAAGAAAAACAGAATAGACACATAGGGTGCTGGGTCAAATAAACAGAATCCAATAAATTAGGCAAAGGCAGTGCATTAGATAGAGTGTGGCATGAATTACATTACATTTATTAATTTAGCTGACGCTTTTATCCAAAACAACTTACAATTGCTATTTATGTCAGAGGTCACATGTCTCTGGAGCAACTAGGGGTTAAGTGTCTTGCTCAGGGACACATTGGTGAACATGTCACCGTGGGGAGTTGAATCCGGGTCTCTCACACCAAAGGCATGCATCTAATCCACTGCTTCATCACCACCATATGAATGTAATCATATGGAAAATAACGCAGCATAGGAGGACAATAATGCACAGATACGTACCGCACACTGAAACATACACATGGCCAACAAAGACAAGGAAACTATGCCAATTGTGTAACAGTGAAAGACAGTAAGCTACTGTACCTGGTAGAGCACAACCATCCCTATGAGTGGAACTTTTTATCCCCTGACCTTCTGTCATCCTTTCGCCTGCTATTCCTTGACCCTTCTCCTTGCTAGAAGACACAAACACACACACACACACATAGAAATACAGTTTATATTCGTGGTATTCTTATCTACTGATAAGAGGAAAACAAGTTGCAACCCAACACATAAACCTGAAACATCAATCCGAGACAAAGGAGAAAGCAAAACGGCACACACTGAAGGAACAGCAATCTGAAACTAGTAAATGTTAGCAGTAGCTTAATTGTTAATTGGACCAAAACCACACACCAACCAGACACCTGGAAGAAGAACATTATCTTATTAATGAAAGAGTTACAAACAAAAGTGGCAGATTGTATTTATACAGCAGTCACGGCACTCATTAGTCATACTGTTGACTAACCGGTTAAACAGTTCAAAAAAACATTAAAACCACACAGGAGCATAGTCCGCATCCCATTTGTTATGCAAACACAATAGATACCACACAGTGTCAAAACACAATTTGCAAGCATGTGCTTCATATGGCTGCATTTATGTGTTTTTGTGTTTTTGTACAGTCATCCCGAATCCAAGATTCACCTGCAGTGCTGGAAAAAATATGACCAAATCTAACGGATCCTGCTTTTGACTTAATTGTTTGGCTTAAAGCTGCACTCAAAAAGTAATGAGATGTAACTTGGGAGTTTTCATATCTAAAAATAACACGTGTAATCAGTAAACTGTGCTGTTTTAGAGAGTATTTTTCTCTTAACATTCCTCCTAAATGAGCTTTAAAGTTATTCACATGCTAGGGCTGAACAATTGTTAAAAATGTAATCAAATTCACAATATGGACTACTGCAATTTTCAAATCGCAGGTAGCACAATATTTGTTAAAGGTGATTTGTGTGTCAAAATACACATCATATTCTAGAGACTTAAGAGCACATCTTTATTCGGTATAGATCCTTGCCCAAATCACACCATAACTCATTTTAATATGTTTTTCAATGAAAATGAGAATAATGATGTAAAAAATATGATTTCCCCTGGTATTGCAAATAATATGTACTGTAATAAGTAATTGCAATTAGATTTTTTCAAAATCATTCAGCCCTTTCATTCATAACAATGTTATATTGTGTATTTATTCTGTATCTGCTTGTTCCAACACTTCAGTGAAGCTATATGTGTATGTGTAGCATTTTATATACATTTCCAGGTAATTTATCATGACATATTTCCAATCTTTAGAAACCTTGTTAATAAAATACTGTGGGAACACTGCTTAGCCACATATTTAGACTTTCTAATGATGGACCTTGTTGGTGGTTCTCACAGGGTTGAAGAGATTTTTCATTTAGAAAAGATACTATGCTCCTTTTTGTTACAGCCCACAAAGTGATCACAAAGTAGTTGTAAGTTTGGCCTAGTGCAGCTTTAAGCCTAACCTTTGCAGTAGCTGTTAACCTCCCACCTTTTATGTTCTCCTAACTACTGATATTTTCTGACAGGAGGATAACAGATTCCCATGCATCCCATTTAGATTAGACATTGAACCCAGGAACACAGTTCATGCCAACCTTTGACCCGTCTTCCTGCAGAACAGGACTCTGCTGAAGGTTTTGGTGCCACATATCACCTCCTTGGTTTTCTGGTGTGGGAGTAGACACCCGCCGAATAACCTTCCTGATTACCTGCCCGAGGCAGAAGCATGAAGGAGGAAAAGATTTGATGGTGTCTGCTTTTATAAAAACATCAGGCTAATCTCTTGTGTGATTTCAGAGCTGAAATGGAAATGGAAATTAAGTTATACGTTACTTTTCTACTGATGAGGTTACCATCTTGGTCCATGTAGTGTTGCTCTGTCACAGACTCGCCTGGGAAATTCTTGGCTTGTTCTCCCTGCAAGTGTTTGTGGTTAGCACATGAATAAAGGCTCAAACATTCAAACATGATGAAACAATCCTTAACCATCACCACACCGAAACAACACTTATCCACAAGAGAGAATCTCATTGTCAGAAAGAGGCTCAGCACTAGGTTAGTCTTCAACCAGCCATATAAACACCATGGTAGGAGGTACCATGAACTGTGACAGGTTTAATGGTCATGTACACAAACATAACTATGAACACACAAAGAGAGTAGAACTATCAGTACACCAAGCAATGCCACTATGACGCACACCAGACTGACCAGTCTAAACTAAACCAAACCAAACCAAACCAAGGCTCAGCCCAGCGTCTGCTCCAGGCTTTCAGGGTACCTTTAAAATGAGACGGCGTCTGAAGATTCTGGTGGTTACAGTCTGTTCTTCCTCTGAACCGGAATCTACACTAACTCGCTGCTGAGGAAGGTATTATACGGTCATTGCACAAACACATGAAGAGAGTCAGGAGGAGAAATAAGCATATGTATAGGCAAGATAATTAGTTAGTTGAGACATTTTGTTGATGTCCTTTATGCACTTCATGGTTGGCTGTATCAAAAAAGAGAAACCTGGAATAAAACACTGAAGTTTCTTTAGCACAACTTAAACCATAGGCTTAGGTGTTTCTCCTGCAGTAACAAAATCACAATGAAATATAGTGCTGACTATGGTCCTTTTATTTGATTCTATTCATTAATAGTATTGCTTATAACATTACCTGGACTCTTTTCTCTGACACCAGTGCTCCTTCCTCCTTTTTGCCATTCGATGATTCAGATGAACCATCCTGAGGTGAATGCTTTGACTTGTCGCCGTTCTGTCGGGACCTCCCTGATTCGCCCCTAGACGAGGAAGTGATGGAGTCACTTGAGTTCTCTTGGCTGTTGGGTAAGAAACACAGAATAAGATTATGGTTGTAGGATAACATAAAGACCTGAAAAATCTGAAAAATCATCTGGGGAGCTTTCTGAAAAAGAATCACTAGGAAAGAAAGCAGTAGATTTCAAATTCACTCCGGGAGACTTGGTATTTTTTAAGGGATTCTATTTGAAGCATATAGTTGTATAATACTTTTACCTTTCCCGCCTGTCGAGCAGGTCTGAGCTGACACTGCGGCCTGGCGTTGGTGGTTCCACATTGACGCTGGATGAATCACTGTGCCAACCTGAAAGTGAACACACTTCTTTTTCTGCCTGTTCAACCTGATCAAGAATCTCCTGAACACTGGCCTCAGTCATCCCTTTGTCCTCCTCCTTCTCCTCTGAGCCTTCTTCTTTCTTCACCTCCTCCAACAGAGATCCTAATGCCTCCCCTGTGATTTCTTCATCTCTGTCTCCCTCCTCCTCTTCCTCATTGGATCCAGAATCACTAGGCTGACGATCCCCGAGTGCCTCAACCCAGGCCTGAGGGGAGAGCCGAGCTACAGCCTGGTCCTCCGCTGCCTGGTCCCCTTCTGATGTCCCGCAAATATCTCTTTCACTGACACACAACCCTTCTTCATCCTTAAACTGCAGTTCTCCATCTGTGTCAACATTGTGAACTCCAGGTATTCCATCAATACACTCTGTGAAAGTCTCTGCTTCTATTCCAATGTCTTTTTCCACTTCATGCCCAATTTCTATCAGATTATGCTGTTCTTCTGATTGATTCTGCACATCTTTCACCTCTTCAACCTCACAAGCGGACCCCTCATTCCAATCTTGAATAAGGACACACTGCTTATTTGCCACATCTTTCTCTTCCTCTGCAGATCCCTCCTTCTGTTCCACCAACATCTTATTTTCCTCTGCCATCTTAGACCTATCTTTTGTTATCATCTCACATTTTCTTTCCACATTTTTAATCAAGTCCTGCTCCACCCACTTTTCCACTAATCCATTTCCCTCTGTTAACCCTGCTGAAACCATCCAAACAACCTTCTCTATTTCTTCTGTCACTTCCTGTTCACCTCCTTTCAAACCTACATCCTCCTGTACCCCATTGGGGGCACCTATCTGCGCTCCTCCATCTCCCATTTGTGCTCTGTCAGGCGACAAAGGGGTTACTGATGATACTGATGAGAGTGATGGGGAAGATGTGGAGTAAGCCATGTCAATGTCTAACTCACACATGGGTGGGAGGGAGTGTGACTTAGGCTTGTGACTCAGCTCCATTTCTTGACAAGACCTGTCCTCCTCCTCGCTCAAAAGCAGCTGGTCGTTCAGAGCGATGTGGGGCTTTCTGACCTTAGAAGAAACAGGATCAGGGAGTTCAAAAGCTGGGACGGACAAGGCGAGCTCACAGGGTCTGGGGGGGCTCCTAGGGGGGCTGTCTGGCTCACCACTGCCAGGCTCTATTTCCGGGCTCCAGGACAGGGGCTGAGGTTGGGAGTCAGCCAGTGAAGGGGTGTCTGGTTCTGGGTAGTGGTGGTGTTGGTGGTGGGCAAGGGTAGGGTTGGGAGTGACGGGGAGTTCGGGCTCCAGGAAGTGGGGGTCAGAGTGCAGTGCGGCAGGGGACTGCAGCTCCGCTAGAATGCTCTGATAATCTGTTGGTGACAGGATGACAAATGTAGAGACATACACACACCGACGCATGCCACAAAAGAATATAACCAAACACACACACACACACACACACACACACACACACCCTAACACCAAATGACGTGAAAAATGGCACAGAGGCTGAAGTGTAAAGCATGTACCCGGACAACCACTAGCTGAGATGGTGATATGTCAGCAGCTGCAATTGCAGAATGACAAACAAATATCTGCAGTAAAATGTAATAAATACATACATTGAACTGCATATGTTTAAAAAAGCCATATTCAACACAAATAAAAAAATATAATAAAATATTAAAAGATATATGAAGAAGGATATTCAAATTTACAATAATCATTATGTTTATCAGTAGTTGTTGGATTTTGTTCATTTAACAGTTGTGATGAGGTAAAACTTTGAAAGTGGGACACATAAGTGACATAAGGCCATCTTAATCATATAGTGTGGGATGGGATGAGTGTAAGATATTAATATTTGCCAGGGTGTTCTGTTACATGCTCACATGAGATAGGTGACAGATGAGAGATGTGAGAAGGAATGGGGAGAGGAAGGAACAAGACAAAGGATAGAGCATGCTAAATTAATATTTCCATTGTGGAGGGGTCGATGCGGGTTCGCGTTGGAGGTGGAGGGATTGAGGGCGCACAAGTACACTGGCAAGCAGGACAGGGAGACAGGGAGCGAAGAGGAGGGGAGGACGGACTGGGACTAGGACAACGTGACCCAGAGGGAGAGACAGGAGGGAGAGTAGACAAGAAGAGAGGGGAGACAGGGCGGGAGGAGGAGGCGAGCTGGGTCACTGAAGACTCTCTGCTTGGAGAGGCGGTGACAGAAGGCGAGGCCCTGCCTGAGGGTGAGGAGGGGATGGGCGAAACAGGTATGGTGATGGGTTCAGATTGGTTAGAAGCAATAGAGGAAGGTACAGGAGTGAGGTTGGTGTGTGTGGTTGCAATTTCGGAGGGGGGTGTAGTATGACAGGACAGGTCAGAGGTAGATCCGGATAATATGAGAGACGAGGTGTTTGGTTCTGTTTGTGAAGGGTTTGGAGTTGGCGTGGTAAGTGTCGGGGAGGTTGGGACAGAGGTGGGAGAGGATGGGACAGATGTCGCTGAAAAAGAAATGGGTGGTGGAGAGTTAGCAGCAAGTGAGGAAGGTAAAGGTGAGGTGATGAGGGGGATCGGGGAGGATGGGTGAGGAGAGAAAGGGAAGGCAGGGGATTGACGAGGGTCATCAAGGGGGCACTGAGGGGTGAGGCATGGGGAATGAGGGGAGAGGAAGTTGAACCGTGGTGGTTCAAATGCCGCTGGAGGGGCCAAGTCTTTGAGCGAAATGGAGGACTCATAACTCGGAGAGCGGCGTGGGGAAAAGGGACGGCAATAAAGTGCTGCAGTGGGTGTGAAGAGAGTGGGTGGGGGTGTTGGGGTCTGCATTGAAAAGAAGGGGCTGGATGCCTGCAGGATGAAGGCAGCTTCAGTGCTTCTAGGAGTTAAGGGGATAATTATGCAAACTATGGTAAAGAAATAAGGCAAGATATATGCAGAAGACAAAAGAAAGAAAAAATAAATTGGAGAAAGAGGGAAAAAGAATACACAAAAGATTGTTTAATGTGAAACATGCTTGCACAATAAGACAATAAATGAAAACAAGACTGAGGGATGTGCGGGGAAGGCGCCATGTGAGGGATAGATAAGGAGAGGGCACACGACGATATCAGCAACACATGACTCTTAATATGTTAAGAGCTATTATGTGCTGTTATCAGCAGTGGATACTGCTGTGGTGAGGTGATGGGAGGCAGGAGGAACGGAATGAGGAGTAGGAGTAGGAGGAGGAGGCAGTCTGGTTTCACAAAAGAAGAGATTCTCTCATCTATCCAAGGAAGGCTCAGAGTAACTGGAGGAGAACTAAGAGAACTAAACTAAATCAATAGAGGAAAGCAGACTCTATAGGGTTATATCATTTCTACTTAAGTCAAACATTATAAAAAAACATTTAAAGCAGTATTTAGTATGCATCAGACACTTAGAATGGAAATTTAATAGTGGATAATGCTCATTTGTGACAACTGGATGCACTATTATGATTTGTAGAGGAGTATTCACCCAGAGCACGACCAGATTTAAATACAAATGCTGGTAATTACACAGATGCCAATTCAAATCAGTGCAAGTCTTAAAGTGTTATTAATGTTGTAATTGAAAAGCAAGAAGGTTTAAAGTTTAAAGTAGAATACCATAATTATTTCAATGGCACATCAACTGTTAATCATGAAAATCAGGTATGCATTTGGGGAACAGTAAGAGCCAGTTGTCCAAACAAAATCCAAAATCGGACTGTAAATCAAGCCCTCTAGAGATTTGCACCAGGTCTATAATATGTGATCCATGCATTGGCACAACAAAAAAGGTAGCAGGGAGAGGTAAGAGGTCAGCTAGACAGAGCTAAACTTTACCATCAGCCTGATCCCGGAAAACAGCGTTATCATCGGCAAAACATCTCGTGCCTGAAATGTTACCATAGTCAAATATTGGGCCCTCCAGTAAAGTCACAATATCCATCCGATTGACTTTGGTCAGCACTGTAGTTAAGGCATCCGCTGTGGGAAAAAAACAACAGAAAAATTATGAAACAAGGTTTGCAAATTTGAGCACAACTGTCATTCTAATGTTTTACTCACGAGAACAAAATATGTAAAGAAAAAGAGAATTATTATTGTTGCATAGGTAGTAAAAATAGGTCAATTTTGGCTTTTTCCTTTTGTTCTTGAATGTGGCAATAAAGAATGTTCATAAATTAAAAAATCATGTCCAAATTGGTGCTTGAGGATTTCTGAACATAGAGATGAGAATGATGAAAAGACAGACAGAAAGTGAATGTAGATAGACAAGATAACAAGCAGGGAAGGTGCAAAGAAGTCTTCTAAAGGTGATGAACTTTTTAGCCAAGACCAGAAAGACTGAAAAGAATGAGAAAGAAAAAGAAAGAGAAAGCAAATGGTGACCAACAAGTAAGATATTACTTGTAAGTAATCTTACTTGTGGCGTTTTTCCCTTCCCGAGTGACCCATTTCTTAAGTAGCATGAAGCTTTGTGCTGTCAGAGAGTTGGGGTTCTCTAGTCTGATGTGGTTGATCTCATCCACTGTGAAGTTCATCTCCCGAGCCAACTCTGTGATGGGACACAGACACAAGTATTCAAACTTTTAAGTACAATATTTAAGTGTCTGTGATGTTATTCACAGTGCAAACACATAGCTGCAGATGCAGAGGGTAATTAACGCTACATTTCAAAATTATTCAAATCCTTTGACTAAGAAAACACATTATAACTTCAGTTGTCTCATCACTACATTTAAATTACAATGTTTTTCTGTATCACGGAAATTGTTTCATGCTTTTTCTTACTTATTAAATTATATTGAGTTCCTCCTTTCCAGGGCTACATTAAAATGACATAGATTCTTTGTAAGTTATTAGCCTGAAGATGGCAGTAAATAACATGGTTTGAGACTGATTTGCCCAAATAAAGAAAGCCAAGTAGAAGGGAATTAGGAGAGAAAAGGAGCAATGCAGTTTATTTCTCACCTGTCCAACTGAGTCCCAGGTGATCTGCAACGATAGCCATGCGCAAGTCTGTTCGCTCACAAGGACTTTGGGGACCTGGGAAGATAGAGGACAATGACTCATCAATACCATTCACATTCTTCTCCTAACCATAAACTAATGTAAGAGAAAAATAAACATGTACATAATTTTCCTTTTCTGGCCACGTTTTCATCAGAATTAACAACATTAATCGAGGTTGTGTTCAAAATATTTATATTACACTGGTTAACATATTACTGTAATCTAGCTATAATATAGGTTCAATGACTTCCTCAGGATGGCAAGAAAAGGACATTTCACATTAGAGACATTATGGGCAACTTAAATATGTTTATAGAGTAAGTGGTGCTCTGTGACTGTTTGCGGTATGTATCCTCTAGGCAGGCAGTAACTGTCATGAGAACCACACATAACAAAGCATAACATGACTCTCAACAACAGACTCACAGTTCTACAGATCTAGGGTGGAAAGGTCTATGTTGGAATCTAAAATGTCAACATGCGAAGACGCTTTGGTGTGTTCTTCTGCCGACACTAGTTAGTTTAAATGACAATTGATAGAATGAAATATTCTTTAAGAAAAAACTACTACAATAACTTGGTAGCCACCCCGCACAGACAGACAGACAGACAGACAGACAGACAGACCAAGGAGTAGTCAAAAAAGGGACTGGTTGTGCCAGTGGACCAGTCACTACTATTGACATGCTCACATTATTATACGGATGTTTAAAAGGGTTGACAGAGGGGAACAGAGGGAACAGAATCTTGCAACAAGGACAATACAGTACATCAATGACAAAAAATAAATTTAAATGACAGCTACTGTTCTGAAGAGAATATGTAAACACGCCACAGGCATTCCAGTCAATCCATTTAACGATCACAACGATGTCATGCAACTAAAAGTGAAATATATAAATATATAGATGTATTTTAAACATAGTGTGAAAGTTTTACAAACTAGGCTTGATCTCCGCGATGGGAGGCGTTCGAGACCCTGTGAGTCCCTGACTGCCCTCCTTCCCACCAGTCCGCCTACTCCTTCTGCTTCTCTCACTGCCGGAGGCCCTGTCCGTCGTCGCCACCTTTGCCCTTACGGACGCGGCCCCGGCCTCAGCCCTCGAACCTCTACCAGACCTGGATGAGCGGGAGGGCTGGGAGGGCTGGGAAGGCTGGGAGGCGTCCGACAGAGAGGTGCTCCGGGAGGTGCTGTCTTCCTCCGACTGCTCTGTCTGCGTCTTTTTCTCCTCGTCTGACAGGCGGTCCACCAACTTTAGCGTCTCCCCGCTAATGCCTTTAAAGTATTCGATGGTGCGCTTACAAACCTCACTAGGGTTCTCCTGTTTTTTCTGTCTACATACTCCCTCAACTGTGACATTGCTGACCTGATGCCTGTCCTTCAGTGGTAGCCTTGAGGGCAACTGTATGGCTGCTCTGTCTGTGTCCAATGCCCTTGTTGGCTGTGAGGTAACCCGAACTGAAACAAGTGAGCTCGCTGTGGCAGCAGGGCTGCTCTTTTTAACATCCTTGATTGGTATTCTAGACCTAGGCTCTACTTTGGCTATGGCTGGCACTCCTCTTTTCCTGACCTCAACCGTCACTGCTTGTTTGGGCTTCTGTTTGCCTATGGCTCTTCCCTGCGTGTGAAATGACCACCCCGATGCTTTCACTGGAAGCCTCGACTTGGGTTGCTTCACTTCACTTTCTTTAACCGTTTCACTTTTCTGCTCCTGCAATTGATTGCTGTTGTGTACTTCCACTCTCTCTTCTAAATCCCTACAGCACAGTGTTTCTATCCTGCTAGCTTTTTGAAGAGTGGGCTCAGAGGAGGACTGCAAATTAAACACCACACTACCACATTGAATGTAGTTGGCCTGAACACTGGAGGACTCGAGGTTATTGTTGTTGTTGAAGTTTTCAGAAGGGTAATCTTTTCTCTCTAACTTGGGCTCCGTATTTCTGCTAGACTGGCTCTCTGTTGACTGACCCTCTATACTGATGTATTCTGGCATTATCTGACCCTCTGACATCTCAGCTTTACAATCAGTGAGATCCGCTGAGTCTTTTTTCACAGTTATAGAGGCAGCTATGCCCATCTTAATAGGAGTGCGTAATTTGGGATCAACCTTAGACACTGTGATTGTGCATGAGGAGGCGGTCTCAGCTATGGCTTCACAGGTGGCAGCATCAGTACTGGTACAGCCAGTGTCATTGCCAGGCTGTGCAGGGCTGCATTTTGCTGTTGTTGCTGCTGGTGTTGTTGGTGTAGTGCTGCTGTCAGTGGTAGTATCTACAACCTTCCCATCTACTGTGGCCCTCTCCCCTGTTTTTGACTGAGAGGAAATTACCCCCAGGATCTTGCCCCCTCTCCCCTTTTCCCCTGTTTTAGGGTCAGAGGAATGCTCACCAATCTGGAAAAACTGAAGCCTCTCTTCAACAAAGTCCCGCTTGCTCATGTCAATAGCACCACTGCGGGTCATCTCAAACATCTTCCCTTCATGGAATGGGAAGGGGTTAGGCTCACTAGTCGGTGTGCTCTCATCAGTCGGTGTTCGAGCAGGGGTTGTGTCAGGTGTTGTAGCCTGTGATTTGTCCTCCACCGATAAACCAAAGGGCTTGGGGTCCTCCTCTTTTGTTTTGGACTCAAAAAGTCCCTCATTATCACCCCCTTTAGTGGACCAGGGGTCAAAGTCCAGGCCTTTAGTGGCAACAGTTTTAAAGGTTGAATTCAGTTCCTCTTCTAGTTGGTAGCCAAAGTAGTTTTCTGCAAAGCCCTGCCTATCTGGATGTCTTCCTTCAAGGGTATAATCTTTTTCATCTCCACCGCTTTTCACTGAAGATGTGCTGGTTTTAGTCTTTCCATTATCACCCCCTTCCTCACATTTCTCTTCCTCGATCACTTCTAGCTTTGACTGACTAAATGAGCGGTCGGTTGTTTTTCCATCATTGGAAAGACTTGATGTTTTAGGGTCCTCGCTCAGTCCGTCATCCTCATCCTGTAGATCATACCCATCTAAAGAGTCTATTTCAGTTGCATCTGTATCATGGGAGAACTCAGCAGTGGTTGCTATGGAGCAGTCAGTGATTGACTGGTCATTGCCATTTTGTTCAAAGTCAGCATCCTCTCCCTTTACAACACCATTGATCCCAGACTCCTTGTTGTTTCCATTTTTCTCAGGTTTCTTTTGTTTTGGGTGTTTCTCTCCATCCTCTTTCATTTTGAAGGTGTACTTTTTGATAGGGATTGGATGGAAGACAGACTCATCATCACTAGAGTCGCTGTTATCAGCTCCAGGGGGAATAGGTGATGGTGGCTGGACCCTGATGATTGGTTCAGCTAAGAGGTGCCTATCATGCTCCTCTTGGAGGTTCACCTCCATCATCTCTGTCTCTGCTTCAGAAGAAGCACACGACCCCCTTTTCTCAGGGTCAGATTGCTCTGCCTCTAAAGGAGGAGGAGGAGGAAATTCTATATAAGCCACTCTTTTTTCCTTTGACTTGTGTCTCTCTGCATCTTGTTTTTTACTGTTCTCTGAAGAAGGTGACTTAGATTTTTCCTTCGAGGGCTCATTGTAGATGAAGGTCTTCCCTTCTTCCTCCTCAGACTCCTCTGGGATAGTGCTTGGCATGCCAGGCATGAAGCCTATCACAGAGTCTGGTGTTCTTGAGGTCAAACTCACTTCCTCTGAGCTGGGGGTCTCAGGGGTAACAGGACTTTTCCCAGAGCTGTCCATGAAGGTCACTTGCTCTAGAGTGTCATCTTCTGGACTCCCTTGAGGAGATGGAGACTGCTTTTGCTTGACAGTGTAAAATGCACCCCTAGTCTCATGCACTGTCCTACTCTCATGGCTTACTATCTTTTTGTATGTTCCCAGTTGCCCCGAGGCTGTCTCTTTCTCATACTGCTTTCCTACTTGGATGCTAACATACACAGGTAAGGGTTTAATATCTTTGAAACCCTCTGTGATAACTACAGGAGTAACTTGATCCAAATACTGTATTTGGTCACTATCAACACCGTTGCAAACTACATTTGACTGGCTACTGTCTGATGAGTCTGTGGATTTTCCTACTGATGATCCACGAGTAGACTTGTTGGATTCAGAGCTACTGTTTAACCGATTTCTAGCTAAAGTAGGTATATGAGATGCTGCCCTCTCGTATGGTTCAACAGAGGCATCTAGTTTTAAAGCAGTGGATTTGTTATTTTCTGAAAAATTAGAGGGCTTTCTTACAGGAATTTGTGATTCCGAGTTTTTTTTTAGACTGTCATTGCTATTTGGACTTTCTCGGACAACGAATTCTGTGTAGATTATTTTCTTCGTAGTTTCTTGTCTTTGGGAATCACTATTATTGACATCTTTCATAGAATCATGGAATGAAGAAGGAGATCGTTTGGGAGATTGGGGTTTATAGTTCCCATACTCTTGGCTCTCCCATGTTTTGAATAACATTTTCTCTTCCTGATCTTTTCCACTGGTCTCATGCTTGGGCAAGCACTTATTTGATTCGCTATCTTGACATCTCCTCTGGTTTCCCGGACTGTCTGGTGTTTTTGGAATATTTGAACCAGCAAACACCTGATACACAGGTAGCTTACTTTCCTGGAGTTTCCTGATAGGAGTATTTGAATTTTGGCTGCTCTGATGACTCCTCTCTTGCCTTTGAGCCTCTTGCTCAAACTTTAGCCTCACTGCACTGACTTTGGAGGAAGACATTTGAAAAGGTTTAGGGCTTTCACCTGTGCTTCCCTGTGATTTACCATCTCCTTGTTTTCTTGGGTCTGAATCACTGTACTGCAACAACACTCTCCTCTCTGGACTGCTGGGTAAGCTGGCACATTTCCTGTCACTGGAATTGAACCTGTCTCTAAGCCTTTCTCTGCTCCACTCTTCCCCACTACTCCCATTCCTATAAGCTGACCTCTCTGGACTGCTGTGTGTAGAACTGGGCCCTGATCGTGATTCTCTGAAGTCTGGTCTGCGAGATTTCTTCTCTGGAGATGAGAGCTCATCGTTGAGCTGTTCTGTTTTATCACGGAAGAATTGCGATACCTCTGTGAGTTTTTCCTCTGCCTCCTTTACAGTCCTGTCCACTCTGTCTTCATACATAAGCTGTCCTCTGTCCTTACTCTGTGAGTCATCTGACACACGCATCCAAACAGACTGCTTTGGGCTACCAGGCTCAGAAGAATACTGCAAAAGTGTCAGTTTGTCAAAGCTATCATCAACGTTGGCCATTCTTCCAGATTTGTCAAATACATTTCTCGAAGACCTGAAGACATACTCTGTCCTTGGGCCAACTGATCTACCCTCACTGTGACTGCTTCTGTCTGGCGAGTGGAAGCGAGACCTATCTCTCAGATATTCCTCTGTGTCAGAATGAGATTGGTCGAATTTCTCAGAGAGAAGCATTTTCTCTGCAAAATTATAAGATTCTCCCCTAAGTTCTGATGATTCATCCTCATTGTATTCTACAGATTGCTGGCTAAGTAGCTTTAGTGTTTTGTAAGAGTCATCTGCCATGAGTTGGGCTGAACTGGGGCGACTGTCTTCTTCTTGTGACATAGGTGTGTTAACTCTGGGGGAGTCAAGGTACACTGGAAGTGATTCCTCAGGCTCCTCCTCTTCCTGTCTACTCCCTGGGTAGTAATACATTTCCTTCTCTGCATGGTTTTTTGTCTCTCTGATGATGACCTCTGTTGGTTCTGTTTTATTGCCTTTTTCAATATGAACTTCAATTATTCTTTCAACCTTAGGTTTGGAGTTGATGTCATCGAGGACTCTTTGTGAAGTTTCCTCATTGCCAGACTTGTGTTCAAACAATCCAGCCAGCTCTCTAGAAGGGTCCTTGCCTGACTGAAAAGCCTTCATTATGTCATGCACAGACATGGTTTCCTCACACCTCTCCGATGCTGCTTCTTTGCCAGGCGGTTTGTGGTACACCATCCTGGTGGTAGTAGTGATATGAGTCTCCTCCTTTACCCTCATCCCTTTCCCCGTTGGATCCTCATCAGGGCTTACTTTTATTGAATAGCATTTGTTCTGTTCTGGAGTTGATGTAGCTTGATTCAGATGCCCTTTTGAATCTGAATCAATATATCTGACAGAATGTGCATCCTCCATTGGAGTTAGTTTGTTATCCTCTGGGGGCTCATAGCTCCTGATGACATGGACTACCTCAGTCCTAGTCTCAGTGATCACTGGGGGAACTGGGATATCCTGAAAAAGGGCCTTGGGGCCCATGCCTTCTGCACTCTGAGGCGCAGAGGGTGTCCTTTCACTCCTGGTCTCAAAGCCACTGTCTGAGAGGGGGCTTTTATCTTGTTCATGTGAGATCTCATCAAGGGATTCTAGCACAGTGTCTGCTCCAAAAAGGGCATCTGCTACTTTGCTAAGCTCTCTGTCTGAAGCTGAGGAGCGCATGTTTGTTGGAGGCATTTTGAGCTTATGCTCCTGAACTGCTATGGTAGGTTTTAGGACACGTTTCTGCTTTTCCTTTCCCTCTCCTTCTCTCTTACCCTCCTCTGCTTTATGCTTTGTATCATGCATTTTGGAGAAAGAGCTGCTACCAACATCATTGACCAGGTAGTCAACCACTTTCGAGAGATTGAATTCTCTATCTGGTATTGTTTTTGATTTGGCGTGAGGAACCACAGTCTCATATCTTGGCGGATAGCTCCAGTTGCTTGGTGGTTGTTCAACTTGTACTTTTGAGAAGTGTATGTCATCCAAAGAACCCCTTGCCAGGGAAACCCTACCATCCTTCACAGCGTCTTTAGTAAGGATTTCGCTCACTTTTACCAAATCTTGTTTTACTTTTTCCACAATCCTATATGGTTCCTCATCCTCTAACTTAGCCTCTTTGGGAGAATCAGACTGAAATCCTTTATTGGCTGTGGAATTTGGGTCTGTCTGCAAAATGGCTGACATTCGTATCAAGTCCTCTTTCATTTCGGCTACATCCTTCAGAATCTCTTGGCTGGATGACAGTGGTGATGCGGTGTTTGATTTTAGGCCAGCAGAAAAAAGAGGGGTCTTGATAGGGGAAAGAGTTCTAGCAAAGGAAGACTGCATATGAGCATTTGCCTCAGCATGCACTGTCTTCCTTGGGGACAGAAGGGCAGCAGCTGACTTGGACACCTCTGGTAACTTTTTAAACTGGGGCTCTGGCAGCACATTAATAACAGAGTACACTGGAACAGTCACTGTACTTGATGTTACAGCAGTTGTGGCATTAGGAGGGGATCTTAGAGAGGCATAAAGGGAATTGGAAGCTGATGATCTAATGGACTGATATGAGGAGGATGCAGAAGAAGACATGGACTTCAAGGTGCCGTAGCCTGCAGAACAAGAATTAAATGTCTTTTCAACCTCATCAAAGGCTGCATTGACACTTGTAGTTGCAGCATTGGTGGTTGCTTGTATTCTCTCTTGCAGACTGCTTGCAAGAAGAGATGTTGGGGATGAAGAGCGGTACTGCGTAGGTGACACAGTTCCATTGATCAGAGCTGCAGCACTTGGAGGGGTGTTGGATTTAAGTGGTGATGAAAGGGAGGAGAACAGGTTTCTTGCAGAACCAGTAGCATCTGAGGCAAAGGAGCGCACAGAGGAGAGACCAGGGACTGTTTTTATTGGTGAGGAAGAAGAGGCTGAGCCCCCCATAACTGTCTTGTATGGTAGAGGTGAACTGAACATACTCAGAGAAGATTTGGGAGAAGTTGGTGGGGTCATGCTTATGGATGTTCTCTCAAGAAGAGCACTTCCTCCTCCTGAGACAGTTATAGGGGAGGTCCTAGCAGACAATGCTGCCAGTCCTTTCATAGACATGGGTTCTGGGGCAGTTTTACCTGGTGAGGTCAGGGGACTGGGGTTGACCTGGACTGGGTACTGGGCTTGCTGGACTACAGTTTTTATAGGAGATGAGATTGTTCTGTAAGATCGTATGGGAGAGGCCATGTCGCTAGCTGACTTTACAGAAGAGGCAGGAGATCCAGGGATGTTGGTCTTGATGGGGGAGGCAGAGTTGATGGACCAGACAGACTTTAATGGAGAGGCAGAGGGCGTGTTGGATGACGAACTGGAGAGGGAGCCAAACCCAGACTTGGCTTGGCCAGGGACGGCGATAGGAACAGGCGACCACGCCTGATAAGATCTCGTTGAAAAGACAGGTTTGTGAGGGTAGCTAGAAGGCTGTGTTCTCGGCGAGCTTCGATCAGTTGTTTCTTCAACAGTAATTTAAACCAAAACAATAAGAAAATAAACATAAAATGTAACATAAAATAATTGGAAATAAAACATAAAAACCAGAAAGAGAAATTTGAGTCAGTCAGAAACAGAATTATACACAGCAGCAAGACAAAATTTTATACATGAAATGTAAGAAAGGCCCCTATTCAAAAACCCAGATGAAATGACAAATGACGTTCTAAAATCAGTGACTTATGACAAAATACACAAGACAAAGAATAGATCATGTATAGGAACAAAAATGACGGTAGATCTGACAAAAAAATGACATGATAACCAAAAGATACAATTCCATTGACTTTTGATGTGCTTTATCAATTTGCCTCCTTGCAACAGTGTCTTTTAATGTACATGTTTGATTGACATGTTATTATCCTTTCATTTGGTTCATTTTGAATGCCAGAGATGACCCCACAAGTGTATACCATTAATAAGAAAATATAATTTTACTTGTCTGGTCATGACTTAAAATTAAATACGAGGTTGCACTTTACAAAAAAGTAACAGTAAATTAGCCGTTCATGTCAGTGTAGTACAATATGCCCTGCAATTTAAGTGAATTGTCTCTAATTATGAATAATCACCATTTCTCAAGTCATACATATGAATATATTTTAAATGTTTTCGAATAATTGTTAAAAATATTTTTTTTTCACAAAAGACTCGGATGGAAAATGCTAAAACAAAACACAGACAGTGCCTCAGAATTATTAATAAAACTCTGTGTCCTGATAATACACATGCAGTATAAAAAACGCCCCTAAAGTATATGGTTGCATTGAAATTTATGCCAATAATATTTGTAAATGGTAAAAATGTAATATTGTAGGAAAATGCTTGCTCTAAGGGAAATCAAGTTAATGTAAAGTGCAACCTGTTAACACAATATACACAGCCACACATTATCATAAAGCCAATAAGAGTGAAATGGCCACTAAGAATGACAACAATACAAAAGAATATTTTTATTCAACATGAATTCAAACATTTTTTGTTCAAATGATAAATGAAAAGACAGACATTGATTCCCAGTGTTTTCACAAATGTAAAATAACATAACCATTGAAACAGGGGTGGGTAAGCAAAGCGTAACACACAGTAAACCATGCAAATGTTTGATGAATGACAGATGATCAAAGAGTAGGTGAATAGAATAAATGATTGATGAACATGTTCTGTCAGGTAGCTTTCTTTCTATACTATGGGTATATGAACCTTTACACACTAAAACTGATTAAAATCACATAAATATCTGAAATCAATTAAAGATGTTGTGCAAGTAAAAACGGGAAACTCACTCGCTGCTGGGTCGGTCAAATAGCTGTAGCGCTTACGCAAAGCTAAGGAGGCAAAGGTATGACGTCGTTCTGGCTTTTCAGTCTGAAACAAACAAAAAAGAACAAAAGGTGCTTTAACATAAAAAATATGGTCAAATGTGATTCTAATCTACCAGAATTAGGTATAAATAATAATGTTAACTTAGATACTGCGGTGTACAAACACTGTCCTGTTTTTAGTGAATCGGTACATGCTGTTAGCACTGGCACAAGGAGGCACTGCAGGTGTACTGTAGTGACTACTCTGGGGAGTAATGGACTGTTTCCCTGCATCTATTCATTCACTGCATTTCTCGATGTCATTGCAATGAAATAACTACAAAATAATATAGTTTGTCTGTATGGCCTACTCCAGTAAGTAGTAAGCATTGTGAAAATCCAACTTCCAGTTATGCAATGTTAAACAAATGTCCTGTTATCATGAAGATGGGTTCCGCAGATCATCATCAAATGTGGTGACATGGTAAACTTTCTTACAATAATAATGGTAATTGTGTCAATTTCAAAGTAAGACTGTGGTACATATTCAGCCTAGTAGGAATTATGTTCATATTGGACAATTCTGCATTACATGATTTAAAGTGTATGCCAATGTTCAGTGCCAATGCAGTTAATGCTGTGCTCTTTATGTAACTGGGTGAAAAGTAAAGGTGTGGAGGTTGGTGTGATGAATGTGGTTCAAGTTCCGTCTATCTCTCATGCCAGTGACTGGAGTCTGTGTCCCTCACTGAAACTATGATCACAACCTTTAGCTAACCTTAATCAAGTTGTTTGCATAACCTTAACAATGCCATAATCATACTGTAGTTGCAATGTGTGGTATTGTTGGCTTTTTTTTTATGTTGGCACTGAACATTCAAAAATGGTGCCACTGAACATTATCTGGGTTTAATAATTTTGGTGCTGAGTTGTCCATTATCAACATTCAATTTGGCGAGTGGATTGATATATTTATGTAGAAAAATTACAACACAAGTGGTCACTACATATAATGTAAATACTCAAACACAAGAACAGCCTTATCTCCCTTTGATTAAACTCTCCCATAAATGTTTTGACATGCAGCTGAGAGAGTTAGTATTCTGTTACACACAAGCCAAGGACAAGGGTGAAGAAGGGAAACCCCAAATATAACAAAACAATGTCTAAGTAAACAAATGATAAGCGTTAGGCTTTCATCTTGCTGACAAATGATCCCATAGTCCTGTGTGAAACGTCTTATGAGTTAATAGTAAGGATGGTGATTTCCTGTTGAACATGTATGGAAAGGAAGATAGAGATGAAAAACAAGCTGAGGCACGGCACAGCAATTGGCTCCACTGGACTTGGGATGAAGACAACAATAAATAAATCCTTGCTGATTAAAACAACTGCCATTTCCACTCATGCACTACAAGGGGTCGCTTCAGCAATGACGAAGCTGTGTAAAAAAAACGTGCAGTCAGAAGCATCTTTCACACAAAGGTACTGTACAAAGACAAAATATTTGCGACGCGCATTTTTACTACAGCATTTGCAGTAAAGCCAACAGAAAGGACTACAAAGAAGAAGCAGATTCCATGTGATGATGAAGAATCAGTTTTACCTCATCATCAGGATCAGACTCGATATCCTGTGGTATTCCAAGATGCATTGCAGGAGAGGAGAGAGATGACAGAATGGACAGCAGGGACGTTATAGTGAGCGGGGAGGTGGAAATAAAATTCAGGGAATGAAAATGGAGCAGCAAAAACAACAAAAGGCATCAGAAAAAGTCTATGGGATTAATAAAAATAAACGGCAAAATAACAAAAGCAAAAGCAAAATAATTTCAGTTTCTTGTGATCAATCAACACCACAACAAACAAACAAATGAGAAGATTTTTTTTTGCATAATTCTTATGTACCCACAGTGAGCCAGGCAATAGAACAAAGCACAATGTGCATGTGTGGCTGCATGTGTACGTTGTGGGGTCTTATGACTGGCACAGGCTTTAACACTAATAAAAGACACAAGCAGCAGGCAGTCATTTCTAGACCAAATGAACTTCAGTGGGTCCTCTCGATGTCAGGAAAACATTGCTTTCTGTATTTTAGTTTCAGTTACATGTAAATGATTTGATATGGCCTGAAAAGATGAAATATTCAAACAAGGTGATCCTACCTTCTTGTGGGTTGGCAGTGTGATATTCAAATTGCATATGGCAGTCTGAGGAAGGCCTTTAATGGATTTTGGCTCTCTCAGGAAGGAGAGGCGACCACATGGCTCCTGGCCCATATCTCTGATCTGTAGAAGACAGTAAAAGAAACGATTTCAAAAACGCTGCAAAGTGAAAATGCTTTTTTTCCCCTTACTGCAGGAGTAGAAATGTCTGGGTTTTTATACCTCAACCTATTGCACATTGCTAAAATTGGAAATTGTCATACAGTATATAAATGTATGGATGTAACAGGCAGAAGAGGTATTTCGGCATGCATGTCAGAAGACAAAACTGTTGTGTACAGTGTACAGTGTGTAGCTCTGATATGTGAAGCTCCTAACATTCAATTTCACATTCTACATGACACAGTTCCATTTTAATTTTCCTGGGCTCTGGACAATGCATCAGATATTGCAAAAGAAAATTGCTATTGCTATGTGTGTCAGCTAATTAGTGGAGGATGATCATTTAGGAGACCAGAGTGAATAACATATATAGTAAATGCTAGCAGAGAAAGAGGGTGATAAGAAAGGACACATTTTATACCTTCACGTTGAAAGGAAGTCTGTTTTCCTTGAAGGAGTAGAAGTTGAAAACCAACTGCTGCCCACTTTTGGTGAGAGGGGACAGGTTGCCGTAACAATCCACATGGATAGGCTTGCCCTCGAGAACCTACAAAAATCAATTGACCGAAAAATGTAGTATCACAACTTAAACCCATTCTGGAGATGAGGTGGATGAAATTGATATTGTATTGCATTTCAATAACATATTATGGATTTATTCAATTCTTCTTTATTAAGATTCTCTTGCAATTCAAGTCCACAATGAACACACAGCCCCACCTCGATATCTTTACTCCTGGCCACTTCCTCAAAGTTCTCCTGCTGTTCGAGGGTCTTGTCCACCTTGTCGTCTGTCATGCAGAAGCAGCGCAGCCGAGCCTCAATAGCGTCGTTCATCTTAGCAAACACCACAAACTTGGCCAGGTACGGCACGCAGATCAGCTCCCGGTATAACTGAGACGCTAGACTCACCGTCTCAGGAATCTGGTGACAGTCTGCGAGCCAGAACCTGAGGAGGTGAGACCGGAGGAAAGGGGGGAGAAAAACAGAAAATTACAAATCTGTAAGTCAACAATTCATCTAATATGAGGATGATCAGTTTGGAACTCTGCACTGCACATTTAAGCAATTTTTGTCTCATACATATAAAAGGGTTGAAACACTGTAGTTTAAGTGACCATCTTAAGTGATAAATCCAACAAGCTGGGTTATTTCTCTTAAGGGTGAACACAGACACATGACAGCTGTGTACTAATCTAATTACAGACTAGTTACTGTAGGGTGCTCAGTATATATCAGGCTGTACACTCGCCACATGATTTCAATCAAGTTAGGAAGAAAGATCATGACTTTGCATACTGTAACCATACTGTACTTTGTACCACTCTGATAGTGTTACCCTGTTAGTATACAGGGCCACAGTGTGGGGAAGACAAGCTTCATTAATTCAATAAACAGGTTAAAGTCAGCCTACAACATGTAGCGTGAGACAAGAGGGGAACTTGCTGAGTGGCTGTCCAGAGTAGAATTCTGTTGATTCAAGTGCCCACTGACAGTAATTTGAGTTTTTCTCTTGGGATAGATTTTCAGATTCGCTGCCAATTTCATTGCATAACTGCACTGTCACCATTTGGAGGTCTAGTGGGATGTCTTCTGGCAGAGATTTAAAATTCCTTGCATTTACTTGTTGTCAATTAATATCTGTCAATTATTTTCTGGGTGAATCACTTGGTCAATAAAAATGTCATAAAACAGTGACCCTTAAAACCTGGAGCCATAAAATATTTGGAATTTTTGCTTGAAAATGATTTAACTCATTATCATTATATTTTTTTAAAAAGTTGATAATTAATTGATTATTGATTGTTTAACCATTAACCATCACAATAATACTCCAGCACTTCGACTTTAGTAATTGGCTTAACCAATCAAAATGAACATTATAACCTTCACATGTATTTAGACATTGTTATTAAAGAAGTTACGTGAGGCTTAATTCACTATATCACAGTCAAAGTACTTTTTTAAACTGTTCTCTGTTGTATACAGTATGTGTATGTGTCTCACCTGGCCGACACATTTGTGGTGAAGGAGACGCAATCAGTTACAAAGGACAGGGGTGTGGTCCCTGTGATGTCCTCCCACTGGGCAGGGGAGGTTCCTCCTGTATGAAACAAGGGCTAAAAGATGAGCTCACTGCCTTTCCAGACTAGTCATTGTTTTAGCTTTAGTAATCCCCATCCTTTTATCTTCTTAGTTCTTCATCTTCCCTTCATCAGCAAGTGGTATTTGACATCAAAGTAGGACTGATGTGCCTCAGTTACTAACTCTGTTTCATGTATAATAAATGAATGAACAACTATGTCTGTCGTCATAAATAACATTAATTAGCATCTGAGGATGAAATGACTACTGGGATCAAGTAACTTGAAACTCAAAGCTAGTTCTGACTCCTGCAGAAGCTATTTGGATAGGAATATTGCTTCAGTGTTGTCAGGCTCTAGTTATATACAGGTCTACTTGCCTGTGATGCTGCAGAGCAGACGCAGGCAGGGTGCAGAGTCGCCTCGGTGGCCGCTGGGATGGCCTTCTGCCGATCTAGGTGGGACAGGGATCGTCATGGTGATTGGCTTGTGGAACTTCCTCCTCCTGGGCTCTACAGTGACGATGGGGCTGAAGGTGGCCCTGTTCCCAAGGACGGCCCTTGCCATATCATCTGGAACAGGCTGGGCCTAAACACACACACATGGTAAGACAGAGAAAGAGCAAAAATGCAGACTCAGTGTTTGTTTGTTGATTAAACTTTGAGAAATGTTTGGTTAAACTTTTTACTTGCATTTGAAGCCAGAAGCAAATACTCAACCAAAAATAGGTCAGCTATGAATAAATAATATGTCAGTGTACAGTATTTGCAACAAAATAGCAGAGTCATGAAACAGGTTCAATCTGAGCAGATCCAAGGAGTCCTGCTGTACCTGCAGGCCAACACGGATCCTCTTGGTGAGAGCCCCTTGAGGGAATGAGGCCTGGACCATGGGCACAGTGCTGCTGGACAGCAAGCCTCCGTCGGGACCCATGTGGTTAGACTCCTGCTTGATCCGCGACACCACAGCAAAATACTGAGGAAAATCTCTGGTGACAATGCGGCAAATGCGCTTCTTCTCCAACTCGGCAGGACTGTCCAGCTCTGTGACAGAAATTATTACTTTTATAAATGGGTATTTAAGTAACATTTAATGGTTGTCTCTTTCCTAGAGAGTCCCTAAATACAAGTGATGACTTTATAAATACATTTAAATGTTAGGTACTATGGAGGATATTATGGTCAGTGTCACTATAAAAAAACACTAATTAGGATAAACAGATTGAATAAAAAAGAAAAATGCTGCGACAATCAGATTTTGTAGGTTGCCATCTGACATATAGACCTGTGTTATGTAGTATACGTTTTCCTAAGTGGTTTAGTTCACCTTCATTCATTTACTCATTACACTCCTTGAACTAACTATCGTTAGTAAACGTTGGACTACGCTGAATAACCTTTCCTTTACCTTCATCCATTCCACTAAGGAGCTCAGGGAGGTCTTCTGGTCTGCCATCAGACTGGTGCTCCTTCCACGTGTCACCATTGTCACTCCTCAGCACAATCAGCTCTCTCTCTTTCCCCCGCATGGAACCAAAATGGGGGATCTCCACAATCACAGGACTGAACCAGAAAATACAACACAATAAAATACTGAGGAAAAGGGCCAATGAAACCATAAATTTTAAAGGAGCTTAGAAGTTTTCTTTGGTTTAATGATAATTACTTGATAAGTAGCTCCAGTCATAGTAGCTCTGAGTCATGATATTTTAAGTAGATAGAAAATATTCCTCTTTCTTTTGTACCCTGGCCTACTAAAAACTGCAACTCATCAACACAGGGGGAAAAAAGTGTCCTACCCAAGGAACTGAGCCCCAGCTGGTCCGACCTCCACCAGCCGGCTGACCAGCCCCTCTCCCTCCACCATGGGTGGGGGGTAGGCCAGCTTGTGCCTTTTGGCCAGGCGACAGGTTATGCGTGTGGGCGCCGTGCACTTCCTTGGGGGGATGATGATGCGCATGCCATTATGCCGGCTGCCTCTCATGGATCCACCGCGGGCGTCCACCATAAAGCTGACCAAGAACCTGCAAGGCGAAAAAGAACAATGTCAGAGGAGGAAAAAAAACACATAGAGATAGACAGAATCCATATCACGGACACAAGTAAGGAAGACGATTCCCATGCTTTGATCACTGTACACCCAAACAAAGTAAGGAAAAGAGGGAAAATAAATACAGAGAAAGAGCAAGAGACAGCACGATAGAAAGAAGGAAAAAAAGATCCTTTGAGTTCTGAAAGTTGGCAGTTCTCACCTTCACCTGCCTCAGTTTAGAACTTCAACACTGTCTGAAACTAAACAGGGTGCTAATTAGGTCGCAGAAAGTTTAGTTTCCAGTTCTGAGACTGAAGATGAGACTGTTGCCAAGGTTTCAGTTCCTCTAAAGCAGCATTCAGTGATCAAATATTAAACATCTGCACATATGTTTCACCAAAATAGGGTTAATGTCATTAATATGTGATGTGTCCCATTCTTCAAATTAGGTGCACCTTTTGGCATCCCATTAATAGAATCATTGACACAAGTAAAGAGTGAGGATAGAGTAGGGTGTGGGCACAGAAGTCCAAATGTCCCGTTCACTATAAGTCTTATGTTATGTACTGTGTTGTTGCTTTTCTATACTGTATGTTGCAAATAGCAGAATCTTGAAGAATATTTATTTTTAATGTGCACTGTAAGAGAGAGAGAGAGAGAGAGAGAGAGAGAGAGAGAGAGATGGCACATCAATGAAAGACTCCCAAACACGTTGACTACACACTTCTAATATCTAGGCAGTGCACATGAAACACCAGACCACACGGATGAGATGAGCACAGACTGGAGGAGGAGAGGAGGCTAAGAAGGGAAGAGAGAGTGACGAGATGAGAGGGAGACAGAGGTGGAGGAGGGAGTGACACCACTGCGCCATCATGGATGAAAGCTGCAAACTCAGTCATCACCTGGAGTCATACTGAGGGAGCGGGGAGGAGAGGCTGCAAAATAAACACATGGAGGCAATGCGGGAGGCAAACCCCCACAACCTAGTTTTAGTATCAAAGTTTAACAATCACTGTTGGGATCTGTAATAACTACTGATGATGAAAGAAAACTTTTAAATTACAGAGGTAGAAAATCAAGGGAAACAAAGGACAAAATGATGATGAAAATAATATATAAATATACAGATGAACACAAAAGACATAATAACGAGTCAAAAATAGGAAATAAGAACCAAAACTGGACGTGACAGAGGCTGGAATTTTATTTCCGAGCATAACACCAAAGAAATGATGCATTCGTTTCTGTGCTAAGACAGCAGTGTTTATTTAGAAGTGACCTTAACATTTTATAACGTCATATATTCAAAGCACGTGAATGACATGAGAGCAAAATCTTATCAGTTTATCCAAATGACACACATGAGCGCAAACAGAGTCTGTACTTTGTTTCCGTGATGACAGAAATAAAGCATGTCAGTGAAGATGGAGAGTGACTTCTGAACCATGTCTCTAGACTTGGTATGACATGAGAGCTTTCGAGGATGAACTGTGTCTTTTGTTGCTGTAATGCCATGTGTAAAGTAGCAGCACTGCAGAAATCCCACAGTCCTGCCCCTCGTCTGCATCAGTGCTGCGGGGTTTGCTGAATATTGACTCTTAGAGGGAGAACAAAAGACAACACAGCAGCCGTGTGCAGTAAGCATATAAAATGATTTCTACAATAGTTCTGTGGATGTACATGCAGTTTACGTGTACTCACATTGAGCTGTATATGTGTGTGCATGCTGGTAAATATATCTTGACAGCTCGGCTGAGACAGTACAGCTGTTCTTACCCAGAGTGAATGGGGCTCGATACAGTGTTGTGGCTGTGGTCCACGGTGTCCGGAGTCCAGCTGTAGCGCCGCATGCACTCCGAGCTGTAGTCTCTCGTCACGGCCAGGTGCTGGGAGAAGATGACCCAAACACACAGGTGAAGAGAGGAGTACAAAGAGATAAGACAGATAAAGAGGACATTTAAGAGCAGGTGAAAGCAGATTGAGATGAAAAAAAGAGTAAGGTGAACGATGGGACCCTCGATCGAACCCTCCCTTCTTTTTTTCATATTTCAACAAAATTTGTCACCGTTATCCACAGTCTCACTACAATAAATATAAAAAAAACACAATAAATATGCAATTATAACTTTGCAGTGGAAATACACAAAAATGTGTAACAGTAATGTGTGACAATTCTGCTGCTTGAAAAACTAGAAACATTAATGAATCACTTTGTAGATACCAAACCATGGGAACTCCTAAGGAGCATGGGAATGACAATTCACTAAACACAGACCAGTACTAATGAATGAGATGAGAATGGCGCAGACCCAAAACAAACAAATACACAAAGACCGAAACTCAAGAGAAATGGGAGCTGACTGAAAAATAACTGACGAATGAGTCACACATCCGTGAACACTTTATACCTTATTGAGTGGGTCAACCAAGTAGGAAATGTCTTTACAGACACTCTGAAGCTTAGGGGAGAAGAGAGACAGTTCAGAAGTCACACTGAGGAAACTGTGTGGTCCAGACAAATTAATTTGTGGCGCATTGTTTCACTAAAGGATTCAATTTCCCTTATCTCCGAAGATGAGATGGTCCTACGATTTAGGCATCTAAATTTAAACAGTTCCATAATAAGATTGTAACAGATGCAATTTCACCTACAACATGTAGCAGACTGTAGTATGATCGCATTGAAATGGATCACCAAGGAGGAAAAAAATGTTGACAATACTTTCAGTTACAGAAGATAGAATTTTAATGGGAAGCTCTTTGAAAGGCCAAAATATTTGCTTCTCTTGTCAAAAAAAGTGAAATCATGTAAGTGCATATTTTGGCCATGTTATAAACAGTATTAGTAATATAATGTCAAGCTATACTGTTTATAATGTGAGAGGTTACAGTTTTTGCTCCTGACAACCAAAACAAGGTTTGGACAGGCTAGACGAGCCCTGCAGAACACTGCGTTTTTCCATGAGAAAGCATGGGGGGGGGGCCTCCCAAAAGCCTTAGGTTTGAATAAACTCTTCATCAAGGTGCTATACACTCACCCTCAGCACTTTGGCAAAAGCAAGGGTGGCATCAACACTGCTTCTGTTATGACCTTTGTGCAAGACAAGTAAAGCTGCCCTGCTCCCTGCTTTAATTCTACCCAGCCTGTGTTTTTACCAGGCCACTGACAGAAAGACAGAGCACAGCTAAAAGTGTATAAGAAAATGATGATGCACCAGGGAATCTGATGAACAAGAAACATTAAAGCTTGAAAAACAGACAGCTAAAGATACCACAGGAGGCCAAAGTGAACAGAGACTGAGAGAAAGTGTTGAGTATAGAGGGTAAAAGGAGTAAAGAAATAGTGGCGAGTAGAAGCAAAAAATTACAAGATGGATCTTACCGTGTCCTTTGTGGGGGCAAGAATCTCTTCAATCATCATACTGTCTCGCGCAAAGGAGCTCCGGTTGAGTGTGTTGGACCTGTCCGAACTGAAGGAGCGGAGGCTACATGTTACCATGCAACCCAGCGCCGCGGGCAACAACAAGTGATGGGCAGGGGAACACGACATAAAACAAAAAGCAAGAAATCCATTACTACATGCAACCTCCAGGGAACCAGGTTTTTTACTTACTGGACAGACAGAACCCAAAAGTGGAAAATTTAGAGAGGCGGAAGAGTCCGCAGTTGAACAAGGATAAGATACTGCAGCAGGTTATTCAGAGATGGAAATGGGAGTGAGGTCAGTTTGTTTGCATTATGAGATAGAGGGAAAGAGTGCGAGACTGAAAGAAAATGCAGACGGCTGTTGTGATAATTTCTATATGAAGGTGTGGCTGGTTTGCATCAGGAACACGGACATAACTAAGTGTGTCTACATGATGAAATATGACATATTAGTATATTGAACGTATATGCACCTGGCTGGCAGGTGAGAGACAGATCTTGTACTGACAGTAACAGAAATAACGTTTACTCAAAAGTGTTTCACTTCAAACAGACATTGCTTTAATCTAAGATTAGCAGCGGACCTAGACCTGTTTCAGAGCAGCTAAATACAAAAGAGACACTGGTCTTTTCTATCTGTCTTGCTGCAGTCTGCTTTATGGCTGTGTGTGGGGTGATGTGTGCCTGTTTTTGCAGCCTCTCAGGCTCAATGCGGTGCTGTAGATTCCTTTCCTTTTGCTATGGGGATTTGATCAGAGACAGAAGAGCCAAAACGTTTGTGGGAATGCACAGTCACTACACCTTCACTTAAACATAGGTGCACTTGTGTGTGTCGGCACCTAAATGACGTATATATTTTTGTATGTGTTTGTACCGCTATCAGGGGTTTGCAAAAAGATACAATCCCAGTGACAAAGCCGACAACTCTGTGCCTCAATTTTGTCGAAGAGTATACTGTACGTGTGTATTGTGCGAGTGCGAGGGGGGAGCACGGGTGAGCGAGGGGGAGAAAGTGCAGAGCTCAGCATGTTTGAGTGGGCACCCTATTCAGCACAGAGAGAAGCCCTCTATTCAGCACGGCCTGCCTACCCCACCATCAAAGTTACCAAGCAACTCCACATGGCCTGAATGGACTTGCTGGCATAGCAGCACCGCAGCTCCCCCGCTCCCTACCCCCATCCCCCCTCTGCTCTCAGCCGGACTCTGTTTGTTATTCAGTTTCATCCTCTTTCTCATTCCATCCATCCTCCTCTCCTCCCTACACATCTGTGCTTTTCCATTTCCTTCTCTGTTTCCCTCATCTATTTCTGCATGTCATGGCACCTACCATCATCTCTTCCTCTCTCTACATACTATGTTTACCCTACAGTTCACTCAGTGGAAGACTTTTTCCGCTTTTTTCTCTACCTTGCTGCTCTCTTCTTACACCGTCCTCCTCTGTCACCTTCTCTCCTCTTTGCGCACCACTCCATTCATTTTATGGTTGATCAATCAGTCCGCCTAGCTGTAACCTACAGTGCCCATAATCCAAACGACTTGTTCTTTTTGTGTCTCGTATTTTCTGTCCTGCATCCCCAATGTATAGACAAATGGTCCTATGTTTTAGGAAGGCATCAGTGTGGAAACCATGTGAGCGTTTGTGCATGAATGCATCTATGTATGTGACTGAGTGTCTGTCCTTGAGTTATATGGGGGATTTTCTCAATGCTGGACCAAAATTCCTTGTAAACTTGTAAAGTTTCCATCTCTGTAAACCATGATTTAACATCCAGAATCATCCTGAGTAGAGCTGGGACGTCTCTAATTACTAACATGTCAAAAGGGTGGATAAAAAGGGATGGATAATGAATAAACTGTTTGATCCCTGGAAGTTACACTCAGTGGCACTACAAAATTATAAGTGCCACACAAGCCACATCAAAAACATAGGGGATTTGTCCAGACAACTCAAACTCTGCAAAAAAAACCCCCACAAAGTGCAGCTTTATTTTCTAATTTCCAGCATGATTGCCTCTTTTCCACACCTGCATCAAAAAATAAATACATTTTCATTTTGCAGATATGATGATTTTCTTAGACAGATGAGGAAATAAGGTGAATGGTGATTAGCTAAAATGGAGCAATCTCAAAATACACCACTTCACAGCAACAAAGTGACAAATCTGCTACCACATAAAGAAATAACAGCAACACTGTAAGACATCAATGTACAATGGATGACTTGTGGTTTGGGTTAGCAGTTTTACAGGTGTAGGGTTGGAGTTAAACAGTAATTCAGTGGTCACAAGGGAAGGACACCATTCACAGCTAATGTTGCCTAATACTACTACAACTACTACTCTTCTCTTACCTGAGTCTAGGGCTAGAATGAGGGACAGGGTTCGGGAAAACAAGGAAAAGAACAAAATAGAAGAGTAAAACGCAAAGCATTTTAAAGACATTCAAGCATGATGTGTCTTTTTTTCCCATATGACATTGATGCTGTGCTTTTTGCATGGTTGTACACTAAGACTAGGCACAAGTGTTTCTGGGTTTTCATAAGTGTGTCTGCTTGTGTGTATGCAGCCCAGTCGAAATGCAAACCATGCAATGTCGATGTCATAAACAGAAAGGTAAGGAAAAGAAAAGAACTTGCTCAGCATCATACATTCACTGATCAATAAAATACAGTTTTTCACAACATTACATTCACAGCTCTGCAAAGATAAACCAATTTCAAAATCTATTTCAGCTTACAAACTGTTCTACTGCATATGCAATAACAAAGGTATAATAGGAACAGTTTCAGTATTTGCAGCTCTACTTTATAGCAGATGGTGATATTAGCAAAATTATTAGTAATAAGTTATATAATAGCAAAAATAACAACAACAACAATAATAATAACAACTAAATATTTAGTGCCCTTTTTATTCCAGGCATACAAATAAACTGTTAACAGTAAACAAAGTTTGAGCAAGCAACTGAAAATTCAAACACTCAAATGTGGTCACCCACCTTAACATAAATTATTTAACTATTAAATCTCTTTCCAACTTCCCTCAAAACATGAGGCTCATCAAACAAGCTTGTTTAAATGGAATCTCTCCATTTGATTCAGTGTTTCCTTTTGTTTGCTGTGTCCCGCTGATGTAAGCAGCTTCCTGTCACAGTTAGTGTAGTTGTTTTTATCAATCCAACCATCACACTGCATCTGTCATCTGTTAGAGTGGCTACAGTACACTCTGGGGCGGCACAACATTTGTCATGTGTTTTCACTGGAGCCTGCCAGTTTTCCACTATATACTTTGTCCACTATTTGAAACTGTGGTTAGGCCTGTGCCGGATCCTGATGTGCAGCTGTTCACTTATCAGAGTTATCAAAGACACAGCTCGTATCTCTTGTGTTACACTACGAGCCATTTGTAACCTTTGACTGGGTTTGAATGAGGCCACACAAAACGCTGAATCATTTTGTCAGGTAGAATCATTAGTTGGCAACTTTCCAGCTGCTTTCTCTGGCGATTTCCATTATTCTGTTTTTGAGTGTGCGTCGGTGTGTATTTGTGTCTGAGTATGTGTGTGTGTTGGAGGACTATACAATCTAAGAAAACTGCATACAATATTGTATCATACATGTCTGCATAGGGCGAGCAACCACAACATCAATGGCAAATATGATGTCAGACACTTCAATTACTGTTGGCAGATAAACATAATCTGGCCACAATATTCTCAGGACAAATTGGGACCAAATAGTTGACAGCACTGCACCAGAGTACATCAGTGGATTTAATAAAAATGACAGGTGCTTACCTGGCAGAGCGGGCTCCTATGCTGAAACCCATGTACCCCTCCTGAGGGAGAGAATCATCCCCCAACTCTTTGAGGTCCTGAGGCCGCAGGTATTTGTCGGTGTCCCCTGTCATCGCATCCTCACCTGGTGGGGGGGGGAATCATAAATCCTGCTGTTAACTTCAAAATCCCCAATCCGGGCAAGACAGGCGATGCGGCACCTCAGGAAGAAAAACAAGCCCTCACTGCCGACATCATGTCTCTCACTTATTTGATTATGGTACTTAGAGGAGGCCTTGGATCATTTATCACTCTGTCCTTAAAGATGGGCTACCTCACTACAACTGCATAGGCCACTGCAACTTTTCTTTACGTCTAATTATTTGGCTGTGACAGAACATTAAGCTGGACCACAGAGCAGCACTGATGCTTAATTGTTTTAGAGGTAAGACAGTAAACATTTTAGAGAAGATGCCATCAGAGGCAGCAGCAAAGACACTTTGCGTACAGCCTAGATCTGGAGCTCTCCTGGAAAACCAAACGCAGCTCCTTTCACACACTCAAAGACCGAACGCACAGAAGGTTTAACAGCTACCAAAGCCCGAGTACAATAAGCAGAGAATAAGCACAAAGTGTAGAACCGCACCGCACCTCGATCAGCGGACCGGTGGACGATGACACGCCGGTCAACGAAGCCGGCGGAGCGGCTACAGTGCTTCCCCTTCTCCCTCATGTCCGGCTCTGTCCTGCCTGCAACACTCTGCTCCTTCACCGCAGCCCCTCCCCCCTACCTTCAATACTGCCGCACTCCGATCAGACACCAGCACCAGTGTCAAGTTACGTGACTTTAAAAAGAGGCATTTCCGGTGTCACCTTTCAAAATAAAACCATCTGCGAAAGTGTTTCGATGTCAAACACCATGCATGGCAAAAAAACAGCCATCTATTCATCGCTCCAGGAACCACGTGACCCTATCAACTCCACTAAAGCAAAACGGTGATATTGGGCAGCTAAATATTCACTAGAAAGTTTAATTTAAGGGAATTATTGTAGTCATAGTTACACTCATATTCATTCTCTCTGTTTGTTCTTTTACATCTTAATTTCCTAGTCCCAGAATGACCCCAAATACAATGCTGTGAACATTTTGTATATGAGGGATGACAAATAACAAACAGTGTGTGGTATTAACTGCTGAATAAAGTGTCCACATTTTGTGTTTTTTTCCCAGTGACATTGGTCAGAGCTATTCTATAGAGCTTCCCATGCACCTTTTTCGAAAAAAACGATACAGAATAATACACCATGTGTAACCACTTTGGCCATCGATTTCCAAAACTTCAGCTTTCCACTCAAGAAGAAAAAAATGAACTAACATGACAGTACGGATTACAAAAGGCATAGGCTGTTAGCCTTTGCTTTTATTCTGATGGAAAATTGATCACCTAACTTCCTGTGTTTTTCTAGCTGCGTCTGTCTGACTTCACGCAGCTGGAAAACAACGGCTGCTGTAATAATGTGTCACCGTCCCATTTAACCTTATACCCCACCACACACACCCCACCCAAGATACACAATATTTAATATTTAAAGCATCTTCTGGGCTACAAAGTAATCGCATCAAAACTCTTTTCCTCTCTCTTTGACCCTCTCCTTATTTTTAACAACACAAGTTAAAAATAAATAAGAAATCAAGAGGCTGAGTGAATTGGTATCCATCTCTACCATCCACTGGTAGAGAACCAAAAATAAAAATAGAAAAATAACTTCAGCATTTTACATCGCAGCCTTCAAAACTTCCTCTGAAGCTCTAACTTACCTTTGTCTAACGCAGCCATACTGATCACAACTCTTTTTATATTTCCTGAGTTCTTTTTATTTTCACTAGAGCTCTACAAAACGTTCCCAGGATGCAAAGTAAATCCAGTGAGAGGCGTAGACTGTCCATTCAGTGCTTCTGGAGCTGATGGAAAATGTTGCCCTCTTTTCACCCCAGGAACTTAACTCCACTCAGACCAACTCGCGCGTTGTCGCCGGTGCGCACGTTCATGTCGCCTTTTCTCCGCAAATGAATAAAACTGAACTCGGCTAAAATTTGCGTCTCCTTGTTGAGAAACAGTAGGCCTACACATAGCTGAGCAGAAACAGTATAAGTCCGAGGCATCTGACACGGGCGTTAATTATCCTGCAGGCGGCTCAAAAAAGCTCATCTCATTGGATTTGAAGAGGGAAAGTCTTGGTGCGTCGCACGGTCAACAGCATCCACAGCAAACAGGGGCCGCACTGAAAGTGTTTACCCCTCTCTGGGGAGCAGAGTCAGCTGACAGGTCACTCGAGAAAATGCTTGGGAACCTCAGTGGAGGAGACAGTGACGGAGGGAAGAAGAAACTCTCACTGAACACTCCTCCTGCCTGTTTGTCCTCTATGGTGGAAGTCTCTGAGGGAGCCTGGCTACTTCTCAAACAGGGAGTGGGGCTAAAATAATGATGAAATAACAGCAGCAGGAATCATTTTGCTTATTTTTTTTTTTTAAATGAAGCAATATTTCTCTCTTCTTCCTGTTAAATGTTGCACACAATGACTGATGACAGTTGCACAAGAATACTTAAATTTAGAACAATTATGCAAGATCTGTTTGACAGTTAAGACGTTCAGTAACTGTAGTAAAAATATCCTCTAAGGCCAGTGCTATAGGGATTATGGAGATACTCTACACTGTGACGACAGCAGAGCACAACAAGGAGTTAACTTGCTTTCTAAAGATGGTGCAATTAGTAGTTATAGTACTCTATAGAAAGCAGGAGATAAGTATGATTGCACAGGCAGGCCACACACATCAGAGACCAGGAGTGACCCGTCACACTAACACCAACCTACTGCTTAATAGGATTGGCTTCCCCCCATATAGGATTAAAGTGAGATGTAGAAACTCTTTAAGTCCTCTATTTCCTTCTTTTACACATACACACACAGCAAAAACATCCTACAAAAATGAAGGAGTGTAAGCCTGAATGCAACAGCTATATTGAAGCAAGTGTGGTGCTGCTAATATTGGGCAAAGTGAATATCAAGGCCACACTGCAGAAGTGCAATGCTGATGAATTATGCACACAGTATAAACAGTTTATGTGGAGTACATGAGGCCGTGGATTCTCTTATTTATAATTCCTGCGTGGTGGTGATAACACAATGAATCATATAGATGCCAATGAGGATCTTCATTATACAGCTACAGTAGAAATGCATCTATTATACACCTGATATGTGTGTGTATGTAACTTGTTGAGTCTAGCTGTATCACCTGACACAGAAACTCCACACGCCCCAACTGTCCCCTAAGCAACAGCCCATGAACAAGCTCATCAATTTTACAGGCCTGTTGCTGCTGTGTGGTTCCAAAACAAAGGACAGAAGACTGAAGCGGGCAACCTGAAACAATGTGACTGTACCATAAACTTGGCAGTGCTATTTGGCTATGCAGTGCTACAGCAGCTATTCCTCCAGCGAACTATGATATTAGAAATGTTATGTAATTTACTGAGGTTTAAATGTAATAAAGCAAGATTATTTCATTGAATGTACATGCACGTCTCTTCGTAGTCTGTCTAAATTATAAAGTGAGACACATTGACCTTATTTTCATTTTCTTACAGCAACTCCTTCAAAGAGATTGCAGGGTTATGAAGTTAGGATGACACTTCACAAAGTGCTTTTGATGAGGAGAATCATGCAGTATCAGACTTATTGTGTGCAAGCAGTTAAAAATAACAAGTGTGTTTTTAAGTTGCAGAGAAAATAACATCAGCAGTGTCAATTTGTGAGCAAAAGCACTGAAATCTGCCAGAAAACCAAGACCAGATTCAAGGCTAAAACAGTTCAAATACTTAATTTTTGCTGATTGATTTCTTGGACAAAATAGATGAGATTTTATTTTTTTGTCTGATGATAAGCTAAGAATTACAGTAAACTAAACAAAAATGAAACCTCACAGAAATAGAATCTCTGCTATATCTAACCCTCTTATTGGCTTTTTGGATGAGAATCATATTAATTTAAATTCATTTTAATTCACTAGTTTATCTGTCTGATTAATAGCACCTGTATAATAACTAAAGTGCACAACCACAGTATTCTGTATAAGTGGGAAGTGTGCGTGTCCTGGCTGTTGAGTGAATGTGTTCTGATTTTGCCTGTAGACTTTCTATTGAAAATGAAAAGCAAAGCTGAATAGTAGTATAGCAAAGGCTTGACGTTTAGCTCTTCAAACAGGCAGGTGAGTTAAAATTAAAGGAAAATAAACAAAAACAACAGAACGGTGGAGGCAAACTGGTGACAAATACCTTCATCAACATCTGAAAAAGACTCCTCATTGAGAATTTCTGGCACATTGGCCCGGACTGTGTGATTTGGATACACATACAGTGAAACATGCACATGTTATTGAAAATTACATCACATAGCACACAGTCAAGTGTATGGAAATCATGCAGAGTCCTGATATTACTTTTTTATTGTTAAGTCACAACAACTTTTTGCTATTATAAATTCATTTCATTTTAGTACTCAGTAATGAAAATGAGGCGAATGCAGAGAACTTTTTAGCATGCTTCACATACCTTCATCGTCTGACAAGTCGAGGAATTCATTCATGGTCTCTGGGACATTGATTTTGTGTTTTTCTGATGCACTCTGTAAGTGTGAAAAACAGAACTGAACAATCCAATTTTGCCAATACAGCATTATGTTTCTTCCACATCTGGACAAATTTCAGACACCAGTTCCAAATGGAAAATATGAGATATAATATTGTAGTAAGAATATTATTATTATTTTACAATATTTCAAATGATCATTTGAGTTCACTGTTCATACTCAACTGTCACATAACATAAGCAGTGTCTTACCTTTTTGCTATTTACTCCCAATTGACATCCTAAACCTGAGCCTTAACAGTATGATTTCTGAAATTGTTAAAGCATCTTATGTCAAAAATCCCCGCCAGCTCACTGGGCTGATTTGAAACTCAATGCCGTTTACAACTAATTTTCATAAAAGCAGCACTGAGCTAACAGGATCCCTTAACAAAATCATGAAGTATATCTTAAACATTAACCATTTTGAAAGTGGTATATCACCTGAAATAGTTTAGAGACTACTGTTGTCAGTTTATCACATGTTTAGCATTTAGATTCCAACTGAAGTGTGACCTTCACATATATTTCCTAATATGGACATTAAACTGAATCTTGCCATGTGTTTGACCCTTGTCACAGTAAGAAGTAATGATACTGTGTTTCTGAGGGTCATTTTACCCTACATAGTTGACCAGCAAAGGCCCCACAGGCTGCAGATGTAGCTTCAACAGATACATAAAACAAAAGTAGAGGCCTCTGTACAGTGAATAACAGATCAATCATACAAAGGTGTAGGGAAACAACCTTGATCTTTAAGTTACTTTACTGTAGGTAGAAGCCAGTATGACTAATACACTGCTGATTGCGCAGGATTCTCAGTGACCTCTGTCTTCGTCTCTTCACTCACTGTCCCCCTTACACTCCTGTCACCTCTTCCTCATCCTAATTCCTTCCCTTGTTTCCCACTTCCACACCCTTCTCCCTTCCCCCTCTTTCTCCCAGACACGTGTGTGGATGAGATCACTGTTAGTGACCTGGGCTATTAGAGGAGAAACTTTAAGCTCCAATCTAAGCCCTCTCACTCTTGCAATCAGGATAACTTCACACATGTGACACGAGACTGACTGACTTACTTAGTCAATGATTTGCAGGATTCACACACTGACTCCGCTCACACTATGCTGCTGGCTGACTGGCCAAGTTTTAAGCCTTTAGTGGCTTTACATGTTTTAGTCTGAGTACCTTCACTGCATACCGTTTTCTAAATCAATCCTCAACATCAAAACCTCTTAATTCAACAAATAACTAAAATTATATATATCTCACTTTGTCCACATTTGTAGTCATTACATGCCTTGTAACTTCTGATTGCAATGCCTTTTGGCACTTGACTCTTAAATCTTATGTGAGAGAATCCTTGAATGTTCCACCAAGGTGAACTTTCTAAATCAGATACTGTGCTTGCAACTGAGGGTGCTTCTCACTTCTAAAATGTTATATGGTCTCATATCTTTAGGGTACAACAAAAACCTCACAACAATGAAATACCACTTTTTACTGATAAGCGTGTTAATTTCCTAGTATTCAACCTATTTCCATGTTGAAAATGAAAATATTCGTAAGTAAGACTCAAATTAGTTTGGAATTCATTTGGTGATGTGATAGAGTTTGTGTGCATTTAACCATACAAAATGCTGCTGGCAGGAAGACTCTGTCTCACCATGGCAGTCAGGTTTTCATCCGTCATTGGCCTCAGAGTGTCCACCACGGAGATGTACCCAAGACGACAGGCGATGGATAGGGCAGTGCTCCCATTCTGACCAATGACAGGCCAACAGGAAGTTATTCACAGCATGCGCACAGAAAACACAAGGAGCATTCAGTATTTCATACAAGCTTCAGCTCTGTTGGAGTGTGTATGTGCCAGTGTGTGTGCACTGACCATGGTGAGCTCGTTGGCCGAGGCCCCGTGCTGAAGCAGCAGGTTGATGATGTGGGTGTGGCCCTGCTGAGCAGCCTGGTGTAGAGGAGTGTACCCGTTCTAGACAGAGACACACAAACGCAGTCAGGGAAAGAGAGGAAATATCATAATATATTTGGATGTAGCCATTTGGATGTAAAGAAAGATCTACACAATAATAATACAATATTACAACACCATATACAAGGCTGTTCATGTGAGTGTGTGTATGTGTAGGTGGGTGCATGCACGTCTGTGGGTGAACACATGTTTTCTACCTTGGTTTTGCCATTGACTCTGGCATTATTCTGCAGCAGGAAGTTTGCCATCTTTGCGTTGCCATAGTGACAAGCCACGTGCAGTGGAGTGTAACCCATCTGCATGAAGGAAAGTAGATGGAGGAAGAGACACAGAGATGAAAGGGCGAGTAAATGAAAAGAGGATATAGTTACGCATGCTGACTGGAGGCTTCATCTTGTTATATCACTTTCTGGAAAAACTGGCTGGTATTCAAGTGCATCTTATTATTATTGTGCAAAAAAACGGGATGATTTATATGGAAATATATGAACTTTCCCCTGCTTCTTAGCATGATATCTCTGATACTAAATATAACTTCAAAACTGCATCACATTGCATGTCCTCTATGAATTATGAGTACAGTGCATAATGGTAATGGAGGAGATCAGTGAGTGAATAACTTATTTGCTGTAAACAACTGTCCTGTCAGCACAAATAGACACACACACACACACACACACACACACACACACACACACACACACACTACATAACCTTGTGCAAGCCCAACCATCAGCTATGGCACTTGTTATGGGGCTCATATGTATGAGTGTGAACATTAGAGCTTGTATGTGGTCATAATCATGTATCTATGTGTGTGTGTGTGTGTGTGTGTGTTTGCTTTGTGGTGCAACACTTTCCACTCAGGTATCAATCCTTTATTTATGTAGCACCTGAGATGATTACGGACAAATGTCTATGTGTGTGCCCAAGAACGAGGGTGTGTGAGAGTATTTTTCCGATGCCATGAATATATTAAAACTACACAGTATCAAATAGAGAGAAAAACACAAAGTATAAGTATATATAGCAAAGATAATGATACGTGTAAATAAAAGATTCATGGTCAAACCTTAACTACAAAATGTGATATGAAAACCGTTATCTGTGTGCGTATTTACAGCATGTGTGTGTGCATCATCTGAGAAAGCTTTACCTTTGTCTGTGGGTTGACATCAGCCCCGTGGTTGAGAAGGACCTCCGCAACATTAACCTTGTCCTCCTGAGCTGCTAAGTGGAGTGGTGTAAGTCCGCTCTGAATATGCGGAAAAGACACACAGAAACGCGTGTGAATACACAAATACATTTGTTGGGATGTGTTGCTATCTGAAACAGGGTGCTGGAAACTAGTTTGAAAAGCCTCAAGACCTATCTGTTTTGTACTCTGTTGAGAGTGCCCAGGTAAAAATGAGTACACTAATGATGATGCTAGTGAGAAGTGTTTATCTACATTCTAAAAATTGCCATTAAGTTGATTCTAGCTTTGTGCATGTGTGCGAGTGTGTGGTCTGTGTAAATGAATACACACTTGTTACTGAACTGTAGCTACGTCAGTGATTTCACCTTATTGCACACATTGACGTTAGCATTCTTGGCCAGCAGTAAGGACACCAGGTCCACGCTGCCCTCCTGCGCTGCCAGGTGAATGGGGCTAATGCCTTGCCGCGTCACCGCGTTGGTATCGGCGCCGTACTCTAGCAGTGTGGTCCCAATGTCCATTTGGTTCTTTTTGGCAGCAATGTGGAGTGGTGTGTAGCCATTCTGAGGCAAAAGAGATGTACAGGTCAGGTGGTTGGACTGAGCTGTTCTCCTAGTTCCTCAGGATTTGATGGCTGGTATATTTTAATTTATTTAATTCTACTGAGAATTGGATAGTAAAGGTCAGTGTTGCATAAAACAGGGAAGGTTTTCATTAGGTGTCTTCTTCTATTATGTATTTCATCCCATTCAAAATGGAATTCACATACATTATAGACTGTAGTATAGACAAGGTAGTGGAATGGCCACTACGATTAGATCAGGCTGTCATTTTCAATATATCCAATAAATTTGATATAATAACGGGACAGAAAACTGATATGAAGCTAAATAATCAGCCAAAAAAGAGGTCAGAAGTTTCAGCATTGGCATTACTACAGAAAACATGATGCAGCAATTTGACCAAAAACATGACCAATTTATAAAATTTTCATCAACATATCATCCAGTAGTTATGACACTTAATCTACAGTCATGTTACCGGATTTAACACTAATCTCAGCTGTGGATTGACCGACAGATGAGATAATACTACTACTACTAATAGTACCACCAATAATAATAATAATAATAACAACATTTTGTCTGTTCTCCCAGCAAAGATAATTTCAGATCCTCCTGTCTGAGTACAGAAATGTAAAGCACCATGCTATATGCCACAACTTTGTGATCATACATGTGTGCAAACACTTCCAGACAACTCATCCCTTTAAAAAAGCATTTAAATTAGACCCAGCACACCAACTTTAGCACCCAGCCAAATGAAAAACAATTCAGAGGAGGGAGGAAATGAGAGAACCCGGACCAGGCAGGAATGACTAAGAGTGTGGGTGGGAGGCAAGAAAAATAAAGGAATAAATAGAGACAGATACAGATTAAGGGAGAGAGAGCTAGCAGGAGACAGAGCCAGTTACAAAAAGGGAAGACGGTGAGCAAGGATGAATTAGCTTTACAAGTTCTGGTCTCCTCTTGCATCACCGTCCAGCCATATTTTGGTTGCCAGTTCTGTCTTTGTGTCAGACATTTCAACAAGTGTAGCAACTAAAGGGCCTTTTTTTGTGCTTTTTATGGGGAAAATGCAAAATTTACAGCTCTGGAACACACTTCACAAAAGTGGGTGGTAGTAGGACAGACTCTGGAGTAATTTACAACATGTATAACACATCACCAGGCCACTCATATGTGCACTCAAGTTTTGTTTTATGTGAAATATGAAAACATAGCATCCAGTAAACCACCAAACCCAACATGCTGGCAGTATGAACATAATTCAGGCTAGTCGAAGGATATCAAAGACTCTGCTTAGCAAAAAGCTGCACATTCACTTACAATGTCAAAGCCCACACAAGATGGAATGGTAGAAAACGGGTGAGCATTAGATCTTGAACAGATGTACGTTACATACAGAACATTGTTAACGGTCTGAGATGGCACTGAGGGCATAAGCCAGGTGAATTTATTGTAGTATGTGTATTTATGCATGTTTGTGTGGATACCTTGGCGGCAGCATGTGGGGAAGCTCCCTGATCCAGCAGCAGCAGTGCCACTCTCTGATTATCGTAGTGAGCAGCTACATGCAGTGGAGTTAGCCCGCTCTAAAACACCCACAGACACAAATACACAAACACATCCACGCACGTACACACAAGCATGCAACACAACATTAGGTTAGATCACTGAACACACACACGCACAAACACTGCGATAAGTAAAACGAAAGAACCAAACCAACAGGATGTAAAGACATGAACCGAGATGGACATTAAACTAATGGAAGATATTTAGTACAGGAGACAATTTAGAGCAACATGTTCATGCTCCAATCTCGAAGAAGCCACTAGGTGAGGATGAGAATTATCAAAAGAGACAGAGATGAGCATGTCTTCGCTGGCCTATGAAATGTTTCTCCCAAATGACAAGTTTGCCCCAATTGTTTTTTTAAATTGCTTATTTAGCTTAAAGTAGCTTAGGTAGGAGAATTTATTAGGAGGTTTAAAGGAGTACTCCACTGATGTGGCATTACACCCTTATAACAATGTTGGACTCATGATGGACAAAAAAATATAGATATATGTATATGTATATAATATAGTCTTTTTTATTCCCCATATTCTTCTTCCTTGAAAAAAATTTGGCGCCCACAAGACCCACAATGCAGCTAGCCCACAGACAGCTCGGTCAAAGATTCAGGTGTGTTATGCTAGCAAACTGGGCTGCTAGCCTCAAGCAGAGGCGAGGAGTGGGCTACAGAGTTCTGGTTTGCAACTTTCTAACGCCACACCTCCAGATTTTTTTTAATTTTCAAACGTCAGCACCATCCAACATTTATCAGACTATGCTCAGCTCCCTCTGTAGCCACAAAAGTCTCCTCACCTCTCAAGACCTCTAAAGAGTCTTTGATGTGTAAAATAAGTTTCCCTTTAATCCTTCATTTTACTGGAAAGAAATGTTGCCCAAATTTGGAGAAAGATGGTTTTCATTGGACAGTGATGATGTGGCAATTAATAAAGTTTTTTGCATTAGTATGAGGAGTAAGAGTGTTAGCAGCAGCAGTAGCAGCATGTTGTTATTATTTTGGTCCTCTTCAGACTCAGCAACCAGGACTGAGTCACCAGAATGTTCACTCGAGCCACGGGAATGTCCCACGTATTTAACAAACACTTGATTCAGTGCGCAGAATGTGTTCTGATAATCTCATGAGCTGTTGCGATGTGTTGTTACAACTCTCCTGGAGACGAGTCATATTTTGGGTCAAAATGTTTCTTGTTCAAAATGTGAGGAAAGCACATGGGTCATTGTCTTTCTTCTCATCGCTAAAGAAAATGTGTGTGTCTGTGTTGGGTCCCTGTAAATAATATTACAAGGACAATCTTGACCTGCTCTATATGAAAAGTGCATTGAGATAACTTTGGTTATCAATTGTTTCATAAATCAATCAATTATTCATAAATAAAACTGAACTGAATTAAACTGGAATAAACTGATTAAACTGATTTTGCTTTGTGTTTAGACTCAGTATTCCAATAGGACTGATTTTACCGTGACACCACCAAGCACTGTGGAAGCTTCATTATCATACCTGACTGCCATTATGTTAAATGCTCTCAGATGGTGGCACAGACACACACACTGCTAGCTTACGTTTTAATCAGTGCCAGTCGGCATATGCTATGTAAGTGTGTCAATATGTGTGTGTGTGCATGTGTATACAAATGTGCTTGTACAAGGGTGCATGTAGAGGTGGAATGAGTGCATGTCATCAGGGTAATAAAAGCAAATCTACCCAGAAGGTTTTAGCAACAGGACAATTATCTGTTGGCTGTGTTGTCCTGGGATCAGTCCTAAACCTGTTGCTCCTCCACACAACCACCCCCACAACCCCCGTGTCCAGCTGCAGCTTGGAAAATACAACTCCAAAAGGGTTCTGTTTACTCTCTTAGAGACAGGTTGGATAAGGGCAGGCGACATAAAGACTTGCAGAATGATAAATGGTCACAGTATCTGAATGATTTTGGCCATGAGTTGGCCAGACCTCACCAGAAAAAGTTGACTGCCTAATCCACAGTATTATGAATAATTTCTTCTTCATGTTTTTTATTTTGTTATATAAGGTTAGCTTCTACAAACAGCTGCTAATAATCCTATTGGCTGTTTCTAACATTTTTCCAAGTGTTTCTCTTTTATGTTCACAGGAATATTGAAGGATTATTGCAAACAATGGCTCTGATCCTGACACACCTCGCAGATTAGGTAGAAATTGGAGTTTATACTTTTGTTGCCTTAATTTTTTTTCGCTTTGTGTAGGATTGTCATCTCCTGCCAAATATGTAGAATGAGTTCTGTGCCAGGCACCTCCCTCCTCAGACAGCTCATGTTTTCCAACATCTGAAAACACTCTTAAATGTTGGTCAACATTAAGATTGACTCCCTGAAGTGTGTTGTGTACCAGGCCTCTCCTCCTTTTTTAAAGACATCTCACCTTTCCAGCAGCATCAGGCGCAGCTCTCTTCTGTAGGAGGAGACTGGCCACCTCCATCTTGCCGTACTTTGCTGCCACATGGAGGGGACTGAAGCCTTTCTGTTGAACACAAAACAAGATACGTCATTAAAATGAAAGACGGTGGAAAGATGGAGAGTGTGGAGAGTATAGAGAGGAGGAATAGAGGGGCGTGTTCAAACAGGAAGTGAATATTTGCGTTGTTTTAGGATCCGCCCTTGCTGGCCTGGGGTCAAGCTCTTCTCCACAACTACATAGTTTCTCACATAGTTGTAAAGAACTCATCTCAATGATTAACTTTATGCAATGATACAGTATGCTTTTTTAGTTAAATAAAGCACAGCTGAAACTTACTGTAACAAAGATTTTGTTTTCACTCAAACTGAAAATGTCAGCTACAATGTTTACATGAACGTTTTTTCTTTGGATAAGATTAGACACATGACAACGGCATTGTAAAATGAAAATATCTGTTGCAGAAGTCCAATATTGTGAAGCGTTTTCAAATTGAGGTAAAATTCACATAATTAACTAATATATGATGACCTATCAATGAGTATTATCTGTGCATGACTAATTTAGATATGACAACACATGATACCCTGAGAAACTAAGCCAAAGGCTCTTCTATCCTCATGTATTCCAGATCTATAAATGGCTGTTGTATAATGTGATCATGTTAATCTTAGCTTCCTTCCTGTGTATATGTGAAGATATTTAAAGATATTAGGTCATATTTTCCAGAGGAATGTGGGACTCCCACACATTCCCATTCCACGCTCTGAAACACACGGCCTCATTTGCGTGATCAGTATTCATAAAGTTTTTTACAGTAACGGATCATTTTAAAGAAGAGGGGCTGCTAGATCTAGAGGTTAGTTTTAAATGCTTTGCAATGCATGCACTTTAATGATACATTTATTTTGTAAACATTCTAAATGGGTCAATACATGGTTTCCATTCCCCAATTCCTCTGATCCCAGATTAGTGTGACATCATTTCCTTGAACAGCTGACTCAGGTGATGTCCCAAAAGATGCTGCATGTGTGTGTGCGTGTGTGTGTGTGTGAGTAAGAGAGTGAGAGAGAGAGAGAGAGAGAGAAAGAGAGAACACTGGCACCATGGGGTTTACCCTTCATTAATCTGTTCAACTGACAGAGGTCACCTTCAAAGACAGCCCCAAGCAACATACCACACACATTGCACCAACTAACTCTATAAAGTCTACTCTACATATCTGTCTTGACCTTGATCTATGCAATTAGTCATATGTGAAACCAGCTCCACCATAAATTGACATTATCCATCCCTGGTCGACTGCAGGAATGAAAAGAGCCCCTCGTGAGATACAAAGAATTGTCTTAAATTATTGGACCAACACTACTACTACTGTAAAATTGATGTGACTCCACTATGTGACAGAATATAACATGTTGAGCCCTCTAGGCTGGTTATAGGCAGGTTATTGGTCCCTTAACTGGAGACTATGAATGCTTCTGTATTATATTTCAGCAGTAACAAACTCTAACAAACATGATAAGACAAGCATCATGGAGGTCACTGAAAATGGAGACTGGTGCCCTCTAGTGGAGATACATGGCTTGACGTTGGTCTGTTCTGTGATGCATGTCTGCGTTTGAGTGTATGTAATGTCATGTGAAAGAAATACAGACATTCATCTCCGTTACTTGCATATGTTGCATACATTGAAATAAGATCCACCACCCGACCCACCTTAGTCGAGGAGGAGAGTGAGGCTCCATTCTCCAGCAGCATGGCAGCAACATCTTGGTGTCCTTCACGGGCAGCCAGGTGAAGGGGGGTGTAGCCTGAGGTTGTGGCAGCGTTGGCAGATGCGCCGCACTGCAGCAGCTGTTGGACAATGTCGACTTTCCCCAGCCGACTGGAGATGTGCAACGCTGTCTGGTCGTCCTGCGGAGAAGGATAAAGTTACTTACTTAAAGTTACGTTTATTTTCTCCTCTGACACAGTGATTGATAATGTGGCTCAGTGTTCTAACCTTGGACTTGGTCTCCACCTTGGCTCCATTCTTGAGCAGGTATCGGACTACGTCTGCCTGGCCTGCCCTGGCTGCCATGTGGAGAGCTGTTTCACCTCGCTGGAAGACACACAAACGGTTGTCAGTGGGAGCTTTTCATAGGTTTCAATGATGTGGGATTTGAACTGAATAGAAAAATATATTCGGAAAAACAGGTACTTCTAACATGTAACATTGAGCATTACAAATTATCCACTCACTACGTTGGTCGTGTTGGGTGATGCCCCGTGATGTGTCAGTGCATGGACAATGTTCTCATGGCCCATGAAGGCCGCCACATGGATGGGCGTCAGGCCAGACTGTAAAGAAACAGATATGATCATTACCATGAAATATTACAATAAATGTCAAATGTTAGCAAAGCTGTCCAAGTGACATTCAAGTCCAAACAAAGACAAGCACAATTAAAAGGCAAGTCACAATGTATAAAATGGTACAGCTTAAATTGTTAAAAGTCAGTATATTATAAAGAAATCACTTCTGGTGCCAAGTGCTAAAAGGTAGAGTCAAGCAAAAAAGAATAAATGTGGTCCAGTCTGGTCTAGTACCTCGGTGACAGCCTGGATAGACGCTCCATGTTTAAGCAACAGCTCCATCACTTTCACTCTGTTCTTCTTGCAAGCAATGTGAAGTGGAGTGAAACCATTCTGCACACAGAAAGAAAGAAGAAAAAAAAACTCTCAGTGATGAAGCCCATACTCGAGTATCTTCCCTGACATCCAGAAAGGGGTGAACTCTCCACAGTCACAAAACATCTGTGACTATGGGACTGCTTTTATAGGGCCGATAAGGGGAAGAAAATGATCTGCCAGGAAATGAACAGGTGGTGCAAAAAATGTCTGTTGCAAACCACAGAGATGAGAAAGAAACCTTTTATCTCCCAATTCCTTCTACTCCTTTTCAAATACCGATTCTTAGAAATTGCCTGAGAATCTCTTTCTATCCATCTGTGTGAGTTTCAGATCTATACTTCAGAATTCAACAACTGAACCACCTCTTCTCTCATCTCTCTCCCAGTTCTCTGTTCTTCTCCTCTACCTCAACTAACTTTGTACCCTTAAGTATCACAAGTTCACAACCTATTCTCATTCTCCTTTCAAACCTTCAGTGCCTCCATAACTAAACCACAATGCAATGCAGAACATTATTAAATGCAAAAACATTGAGGACCAACAGAAAAATATTATCCTTCGAATCATATCCATCTGACACTCTCTTTATATTTTATCTACTTTAATATTAAATGTGGTCTATGTTTTTGTAACCTTTATGTTTTATATTCTACGTGCTGCTGCTGTTGTGGCCAGGAGATTAATTAAAAAACACATTAAAATAAAAGAGATTATTAATTTCAGTAAGTACTGGTTAAATGAAGTTATTTTATATTATATGTTATATTTACTGGTTCCTTTTGTGTGTCCCTCCCACCCTGCCATCATCCCTACCAGAGCCTTGGCGTTCGGGTTGGCCTTCTTGTCCACGATGAGCTTGGCCACCTTGTAATGACCACAGTGGGCAGCGACGTGCAGCGCTGTCAGGTAATCGTTGGTGACGTCGTCCACCGGCACGTCATGCTGGAGCAGGAGCTGGACGCAGTTCAGGTGGTCCCCCTGAGTGGCCATGTGGAGCGGTGACAGACCGTTCTATAGTGGGGGAAGAGAGGGAGAGAAAGAGAAAGAGAGGGGGGGGGGAGAGAAAGAGAGAGGCAGACAGAGAGCGAGACAAAGACAGACAAACACACACGCAGACGGACACATGGACAGATGGACAGATGGACAGACAGACACAGTAAGTTAGGGCGTGGCCATGCGCTGCACAGAAATACTGTGAAGGAAGTTGTTGGGAAGGTTACAGAAGCATTGTTATAACGAGGTCATTACAACAATGTCTTATTTTGTTACACTGGTCGTCCTGTGCGGTCAAACTGTAGGGCTATGCAGCGGAGACAGGCTGTTCTGGAGAGGTCGCACAGACGTTATAGAGACAATGCGACAACACTACAGCAACAACAACAGGCCTGCTATCTGATTAGATAACATATTTCCAACAGCTCTGTGTGGTTAGGAAAGGTAGTTTATACAAAGATTACTATCACACTGTTATTATTATATGTGTACCCTGTTTCAAGTGAAACATGATGTATTCTGTTCTATTCTAAAAATATGTGACATGTGTTTGTGACGTTTCCTCTCCTATTCTCAGCTAAGCAGCGTCTCCTGAATTGATCATCCCAGTAGCTACCTTGGTCTTGGACAGGAAAGGTGCTCCTCGGTCTAGTAGGATTTCTACCACCTGTTCATGCCCGCTCCTCGCCCCACAGTGAAGAGGTGTCAGCCCATCCTGAAGAAGAAGAAAGACAGCAAAGGTGTTGATGAATCACAGTAGACAAAAAATAATGCTAACCCTGGCCTTTCTACAGATGTTTAAAACTTCCTGGTGTAAAACAAACTTATGGAAAGGTGATGTGGTTTGCAGTTTTATTACATATGATTACGTAGTTGAAGAAAAACATGTAGAGAATACACATTTCACATGGTTTGTGAATATTTTAATTTGTTGACTTGTTCAATATTGTAATATTTATAGTTTCACGATTGGTAAGAAGAAAAAAATAACTAACACTAACAAAGTTGAGATATTGATACACTTCTCACTGCATGAAAAGAGTCTAGACAAGGACAAAGCAGCAAATGCCCAGAGGCGCCCAGACTTTTACAGACTTTTTCCCTCCTGAAACTTTACATTTAACTGAACAAGACACCTATGCATACTGGGGTTAAGGCGCCATTTTCACATGTGTGTGGACAAGAGAAAAGTCTGAACTTCAGCTGATCTTTTTTTTTGTTTTTGTTTTTTTGTTTTACAGAATTCAATCTAGCCAAGATGGAAACTATGGCAGGCCATATCATCCAGCCCCATGTGCTTCGTTTATGAATGTCTTATAGTTTTCTGAGGAGAATTGGGTCCAAGGTCTCACCTTTGTCTTTGCATCAATTTTGGACCCTCTGTCCAGCAGCAGCTTGACCATGTTGCTGTTGCCCCTTTTTGACGCCACATGAAGAGGCGTGATGTCATTCTAAATAAAAAAGAGAAAATTGGTGTTACTATTCTCTGGTCAAATGAGATGTAATGGTTACAAACATTATGCATGTCCATGTCAAAAGTCTATTATTAAATTGAATAAATTTTTCAGAGATATATTAAATTATACTTTTGTTTTTTTATATATTATTATATTATACACATAATCTTGTAGACTATAAATAGATTGCAATGCTTGGATTTCCCATCTCTAATATAAACCCTACACTCTCGTTATTAAGGGTGTATAGTCTTTTATTATCAAGTAAACTAAGTAAGTAACTGTTTCTAAAACAGCTCCATTGTTTTATCCCATCTATCTCTACTGTTCTAGCATGATTCTTTGGATCTAACCTGTAATCAGTGTCACAAAGCAGCACAAAGACCAGCAATTCTTCACACACTAGCTGATATAATCATGGGCCGCTAATGGTTAGCTAATGTCTAATGCAGATACAAACACATTTTTAATGGCACCCACTTTTGCATTACAATGTGAATATCACAGTAAATAAATAGTAATCCTAGAGTGCAGCCTTGTAAAGTGATGGACCTATTATAAACACTGAGAGGCATATCACCTAATGTAACACTTACATTGCTGTATATTTTATTCATAGAACAGTAGGGAGTTTCCTAATGCTCACTTAAAATAAATAATAATGATGCCCCTTGCTAGTTGGCATTGTTTAAAGTGTGTAACTTTGAAAATACACACACACAGCGAGGTGAAGACCAACGTGAATGAGCTTCAGGTCCCTCAAAATTAAAATCTCCTCATCAGTACACCTTTATTCATCAGAAAATAAGTCAGTGTGCTGTCTGACCTTTTTTTTATTAAACACCGTTCATTGATCATGCGTGACTTGTAGATCACCATAGATACTAAGTATAGAAGCATTACCATCATCTCCATTTTTTAATACAAAGCAGCACCTGATACTGACTTAACACATTCATCCTTTAACAATATTTCCTATTCTCAAAAACACATGATCTTTCAGAACAAATATAATCTACTGCACTGTCTAGCTACTCATTTAACCTCTTGGGATTCAATTGCCCAATTCAGCAATCCAGAAAGTTTCCCTCTTAAGGAGTAATGTCTCTAAATCTCATCCTGTATTTGACAGATATGTCTTCTGAATTGCTATATATTTAAGAAAAGAGATCTGGTGAACTAGATTTTTTTTATAGTATATTGGAGAAGAGTTGTGCAATGTGTTTTTAATTTTGATTTTTACAGCATTGTTTTTATCTGTTAATGCTGAAAAGTCCCAAAAGAAGAGATAATGAACTTCACAACTCATTACAACTTCATGTGGGTGTTTTTGGCTTCATAGTGCTTTTCCTCTCTTTTAGTAGCAGCAGTGTGTGCCTTCACCTCTCAATGCCAAGTCTACACACATCCCGCATTTTACATTTGTGTCTTCTGTTGATGCTCTTACCCTGAAGGGCTCGTACTACATACAAACTGTAGAATGAGTTAGTGTTCATAAATGGCTTTTGTTTGAAATTAACCTAAAAATGAAGGAGTGCAATGAATACAATAGGCAGAAGACATTTTGATGTCACAGATGCAAAAAACACATAAATAATAAATTACTAATAGCTGAATTCCATTTAGCTTCTTCAGTTTTACAGTCCTGGTATTGTTCATGCTGGCTCACTGAGACACTTGTTATTAGTAACACCTGTGATGTGACAAGTCAAAGTGTCTGTTGTGAAACAGGCGTATACCTCTGGGCATTGTGGAAATGCCCAATAATAATTCATGGAAATCTAAACCACTGTTTTACAGCTGTGTAGGATCATTGATCCAGCATTATCTAGCATTATACACCTGCACTCTTGTTAAACTTGAATATTGGTAATACCCCTCCCAAACAGCAGAGGGCAGAATAAACTCACCCGAGCCATGAAGTCCACGGCAGCCCCTCGGTTCAGGAGAAGCGTTGCCACGTTAATGTTGCCATAGTGAGCCGCAATGTGGAGGGGGGTGAAACCACTCTGAGGATTGGAGAAAGCCGTACAACACACACATGCAAACAGACAAGCACACACATTACATTACAAACTATTACACACACCACACATGTACAATTCTTTATAGACCTTGGGCTTTAAAGCTGCCTACACAGGGCTATGGCTGATGTACAGTCACACTCCATAAGACAAGGACACACTCTACTATACACTGTTACACTAACACCTGACTTTCCTCACGGTGGCTGAGAAAGTCCTATTATCGAAGCATCAAACATGGGGCCAACTGTATGCTGACAGAGGGGTTTTTAGGTTAAGTATACCATATGTGCTTCTATGTACTATCATGATACTGAAATATAACTCATCACACTGGCAAAGTAAAGTTAAACCATATAGGCCAGAGTGTTAAACATCATTTCAAGTTTGACAGGTGTTATTTTGAGGTAACTACTGTTTCATCTCATTTACAATATCCCAGTACTTTTAGTGTGCAAAAATTGTCCTGCAAATGAACCTAATGTCCATTTGTTAACATCTTGAATTAAAGTAATTTCCTGGCAAAACCCCAGGCTTACAGCAACAGCTGTCAAAGCAGCAGAAGGACACTGGAAACAATCTGTCCAATGAATGAATGAATCTCACATTAAGCCATCTAATCATTGGAATCCCAATTTCAAATAACCAATAATCCAGTGGAGAGCAGGTGTCTCAGACATGTGTGTCCAGTCTGCTGAATATTAAAAATCCCAACCAAAAACACTACAACTATAAACAAGATATTTTTACTTTATCAGAAAAGTAACATAACTATACATTTAAATTAACCACACAAATCTGTTGTTTTATAGTCTGTGTACATATACATAGGTTAATCTCATGTGCTTTATATAAAATCTACAATAACTTTCTTCCATCTTCCTTCAGAGTACTATGTAAATCAACAAAGCCATTTTTAGATGAATCATACTAGATAACTGGCCAGCCTGCCAAAGCCAGAAACAGAGCCAACCAAAACAGGCCTCCTGACTTTGGTGTGACAAAGCTTGTTGCTTTGGTCCCATGCAAAATGCTTTAGGTGCAGGGGTTGAGGATTAGAAGTAAAATCAATATTGGGTAGACTAGTAAACTAACTAGACTAAGTGGCTGTTGCTAGAAGGCTGCGTTCCTTTACAGTTTAATGGGAATTTGGCTGCCATGCAGGTTATGGACAAGCCGCTGCTTTTCAATGAATGATAACCACTTTTCATGCTAACACAGGTTATTATGTTAATCAGTTTCATGGATCGACTGTTTCACGACACATTTGGACAACATTTTGTCAACAGTCACAAGGAATTTGCCAAAAATAACAGCCGAAGCTTGAGCTTTGGACACCATGAAACCATTAGAATCAACGGGAACCTTGATACCCAAGCCTCCAGCCTCAGGATTTCCTAAGTCAGTATCAGTGAAACATGCGCTATTACTCTGACTTTCTCTATGACAAGAGATATCCACTACATGAATGAAGCGATGGAGAGGAAAATGAGATTCATTTCAAATGGAAAAGGGGAAGTGACAAAGGGCTGCAGGAACACTACTGCATCAAGTCAGGGACACTGAAGTGTTTGTTGTTGTTTTTTCAGTTTTTATGAGCTGCGATGGAGAGGCTACGTAATGTACAGAGTAGAGGTGTACCTCTGTTGTTCTATTCACCATCATCTACAGAGTCAGCCAAGAGAGGAGAGAATGAGCAGTTAGTGAGCAAAACAGAAACAGAAAAGGGCCTCCACTGACATAAAGTGGAGGAGCAGAGAGAAGGGGGAAGGAGCTCAGCATAATATATTGATCATAAAAAAAAACTCTGGCCATAAAGTCACTGTTCAAAGATTTACACAGATAAGATTTTAAGTTTAAGAAAGGTATTCTCAAACTAAAATCAACAAGTATACAATAATTGAATTCATTCAATAATGTGATTAAATATAAAAATGTACTTCTGCTCCTTTCCCCTTTCTGCCGAAAAGAGCATAAAAAGCAATTCAACCAAAAAAGAAGGAAAGAAAAAAGTCAGCAAGAAACAAAAATTGATAGAGAAAACCAAAGGCATCAATAATCAAAGAAACAATTAAACAATCAAAGAGATAAAAAAAAAACAAAGCAACCAACTGAAGATCCACCACAGACTGGCTGCATCGGTGTCGTCACTCACCTTGGACTCAACATCTGCGTTATGGTCGTTCTGCAGGAGCAGGGCCGCGGCCTTGGTGTCATCCTTGCGGGCAGCGATGTGCAGGGCAGGCAGGCGTACCTTGCCCTTTGTATCGTTCTCCAGTAGCAAGGAGACCACCTGGTCATGGCCCTGCTGTAGGGCCACCGCCAGAGGGGTGAAGCCATCCTGTATATGAGGAGACAGAGGAGTCACTGGGGCTGGACGGGTGCTGCAATGCATAACTGGTGACGGAACTGATATGGGATGGTAGGTGTGACTGGATGGATGATATGAGCAGGTTATGGAGTGCTGGTGCTTTAATATTATATGTTGCTAAATTATTATTTTGCTGCAGGCATAGAGGAAAGCAATGCTAGTACAATTGAAGTTTTAAAGAAGGTACAATGCATGTGTTATTATTAATGATTAAACAATCCAATGAATTCAGGCCCTTTCCTTTTGTTTTAAAAAAGATATATCCTGTCTGGTTTTCTTTTTTAATTTGGTTATACATAAATGTCAAGAAAATGTTACTAAAAAGCTAAACTGATGGGCAACATAAGGGTCTGATACAGTCTGATTTGCTTGGAGCATTTAGGATAGTAAATAATAACTTAAGAGACCATGTGTGAGACACATATAAAGGTTAGTGTACATTTCCAGGCCTCCTCACCATATAGGACACAAATGTAAGTTACATAATGAGAGGATGGAGTGAAAAAGGCTCACATCTATCTCCTACACACATCACCCTTATGATGCATTTTTCAGCTGAAGGCTCCCTGCCACAGCAATGCGTTTCTGCATACTGTAAGTTTGAATGTGTGTGCGTGCAGAAGTATTTGTGTAAGTATTTGCATGCGCAGTACTGGATCTGTATGCAGACCTGTGTGTATGCACAAACATATTCTTTGTCTATGCATGTCTTGAAGGGCATCCCGTGTTCTACGATGTAGCCCATAGATGTAAAGCAGTGGACTGTAGACTGGCTGGGGTATTCCATTAGCACCATCAGCTATTTATTTCTGGGTGTGCACGTGCTTTAGTGTGTATACGTGTGGTGACCGGTAAGCATGTGTGTGTACGGGATCCACAGGCTCAGCAACGTAAATCAGAGCAGTAACGGCAGCAGCAGCCGTGGAAGAGAGGCAGCGAGCGGAGCCGACCTCATCTGTGACCCACTCAAGGTCACTCTGCCTCCACCACCATAGACTACCAATCAATGAAGCTCTGCCTAGTCCCTCATGAAGAGATGGAGGGTGCGAGGGAGGAGTGGAAAAGGAGAGGGGGCAGGCAGAGTGAGAATGTGAGACAAAAAAAGAAGGAAGTAAAGACAGGACAGAGACATGAAGAAACAGATGGAGACACAGGCAGATGCAGAGTGAGTGGGGTAGGGATGTTAAAACGAAGAAGGAAACAGAGGAGGAGAGCAGATGAAGGTGGTTAGTACAACAAATGTAAAGACCACAAGTGGAGACGCGGCTGGAACTATATATATACACACACACAGTAAATGCACATCACACAATAACAAACACACGCATACATACAGTACCTCAGTGGCCATACTCTGGCTGGCGTTGTTCTCCAGAAGGAATCGTACCACCTCCAGGTGATTTTCCTGGGCTGCCATGTACAGAGGAGTGAAGCCATTCTGCACACAACACGACACACATGCACATTTACAAACCTGTTTAAACCAAAGACTGTATAAACTTTGCTGCCACTTATGCTACAAATGGATAGAGGTTTACCTTGTAGTGAGTGCTTTTAGTGTTTCAGTTTTTCCTTACCGGAGCACTCATCATAGCAGAATACATGGAATGTAATATCAAATGTCCGAATATGTCTTTAATGATAACACAATATCAAATGAAATAAATGTAACTGACAAGGTTGAGAGTGAAACCCAGATGGAAAGATCTCAAAACAAAACAAAATGTTCACGTAAGGTCTTTAAGACTTTTGAGTTGCTGTTACATTTCATCTCTATTGGCTGTTTCGGGGTTTGCTTACACCAAAGAGAAGGAAAGTGCTTGAACTCTTTCCTCTCACCTTGATGTGACAGAGTTAAATGTAAAATGCAAGAACAGCAGTCTCCTGGAGAGGCAGAGGCCTAGTTGGCATGCTTCCAGACTCTGTCACTAAGGAGTGATTCCCTGTCTCAATGTCAGTGACTTATCCAAACAAATGTGTGCATCATAGCAGTGTAATTTACATTTACAAATACATATACTGTAGACCAACAGGGCCATACTGTCATTTTGACATTGTGCGTATGTCTGTGTGCAAGTATATCCCACCTGAGATTGTGCGTTGACATTGGCTCCATTATTGACCAGCTCTTTGACAACTTCCGTTTGGCCAGCCAGCGAGGCTATGTGCAGAGCAGTGTTTCCTTTCTGCATTACATGGAACAACCACAGGAATGTGTGTTAAGCTCTGCCCCACCTGTCTAACTGTATTGCTTGTGTGTGTGTGTGTGAGTGTGTGTGTGTGTGTGTGACTGTGTGTGTGAGTGTGTGTGTGTGTGTGTGACTGACACTATACTCTGTATATATCCATGTCAGTATCCATGTGCCCCAATGAATGCCCTCACGCAAGCCACACTATAGTATCTCGTTCCAGCTTTGGCATCCCCCTGCCTGAACTTCCAAAAATGTGTCACTTCCAGTGCCCCACATCACACACATAAATGAGCTCCCGCTGAGCCTCGGCCATAAATAAAACTACAGGAGGCTTGTGAAGGTGGAGTCGACCCCGAGCCTGTCTTCTATCCACGTGATTCTGGGCAATGTTATTCGCGACAAGTGCTGTTGCACAATAGTGATCATCTGTCACATGTACTGTATACTGTAGCAAGTAAATCCTGCTCTTTGAAAAGTGCAACAGGTTAACTTCTTCATCAGTGTAATATAATGCATTCTAGTGGAAAACTATGCATTCTAATGCAATACCTCTGCAATATGAAGAATACTACCTCTGTGAAGCTTACAGGGCTCAGCTTTTGTTGAAAGCTGTATTGATTCAACTTTATTGTAATTCTGAGCAACTGAAGTGAGAAAATGTTGAAGAAACGCAGTCTTTGCACCACTAAACTTCTGAACACCTATCATGACGAACCATTTCTTTATTTGCAAGTGCTCGCTGACAACAAATAACTTTTCTTTCCCCAATAACATCCTCTCTTGCAATACAATATCCTCTCGTAACAACTAAAGCAGGATTCAAGTTTTTTTTTGGCTGTGTTCACAGCACTTGATTAAAGGAGTACTCCACCGATGTGTGCCATGCTTTCAAGCCAATCTGAAATAGTGGCTAAGAAAGAAGTATCTGTAAAACACAACCCCTGCGAAATAGCATGTTTTACTGACAGAATTTGGTTAATTTGGTCCAATAAAATTTAGAAATTGTAAAAGAGCTGCATGACTAAATCCTTTTATCCCCATTAAAGTCAGAAGAGTTAGCAGAGGGCTAAACCGGAAGTCCACCCCAGAAATTTGACTTTTTTGGCACCACTGAGCAGCTTTCATAGCAATGAACAGAGCACTGCCTCCAACGCTGCATTCAGTTTGCTTTATACATCAATGTAGTACTCGCCAAGACCTGTAAACAGACTTTGACATGTGAAATTGGTGGATTTCCCCATTAAGAGTAGGCAAAAAAAGAGTAGGCAAAGATGTTGTTATTGGTTAAATATTGAAAAAGTCAACAGTGACTTGAAGCATGAGAGACAACAAAGTGGGAAACAAAGTATTGCTTGGTGCACCCACCAATCAACCCTGACCCTGACCACCTCTCTATGACTTGTGTGTTGTACAAAACCACAGCACTCCCTTAACTGGGAAAACATTGCATTATCCAAGCACCAATTACATTTCCCTCAAAAGTATTTGGCAAAACAAATTAGTAGTAAATTAAACTTCTGGCAGCAACACTTAACACCACTACAGCCTAAAAAATGACTGTTGAAAATGACTGTTTCAAACTGAACATCGAAAGCTCCATAAATATAAAATCACAATCTAAAGCTCAAGAAATTACAACAAAGTCAAATCAACATCTCTCTGACACTTTTAACACTGTAAGCTTCACAAGGGTAGCATCTATTATAGAGCTGCTGAAGGGCTATTGAACCAAAGACAAGGCCTCTTGTTTAATTCTCCCACAACAAGAGCAGCACAAAATTAGGGGCAGACACACAATTAACTTTAGCATTAAACACCCACACAGCCTTAACATAACACTCTGTGTTACTAAATCTAGGTGTCGCCTAGTATTTCCTCCCTGACAGTCTCCATCGGCTGCCATTTGTAGGCATTAGGATGCAGGCACTGGATTCCCAAGATCTCAAACTAATCTCTCCGCATCCTCTGGGTCACAATGGAAAGAAGTTTTAATTGGGGAGATTTTCTCCTTGATCTTGAATATTTCATTTTCCCCCGTGTTTATGTCAGCACTAGGAATGTGGCTTGTGGCAGAGAGGCTGAATGAGACGGCTAAATGGGGGGGAAAGCCTTCTGGGCTCAAATCTGGATAATGTTTTAATGGCTCTCCCTCTCAACTCCTTTTATCATCAGAGTAAAGATGCTTCAAAGGAAGAGACCCTCCCCTGATGTATTTTACTATATGATATGTACACTGCATCAAATAAACACTACTGCTGCTGCTGCTGCTATTCTTTATTAGCCAACATATATTTCTAATTAATACATTCTACTGTTATTATACTGAACTCCCTTTGCTTCATTCTGACATATATTTCTTTTTGTCTTGCTTAAGTCTCTTACTTTTTCCAGCAGCAATGCCCACAGGAATCGTTAAACATTGATCCAATAAGAAAACCCAACGAAGGCTGCAGACTTCCAGCAGTTATACTGCAGCTGCATGCTGTTTAATCATAAAATGCAGCCATGTTTGTGCTGGAGCCACATATAGTCCTCTGTAACAACAATAGGTGACAGGCCTTACTTTTGTGGCTGCATCCACAGCGGCTTCGAGCTTTAGCAGCTCAGCAACAACCTCTACATGCCCCTCCTTGGAGGCTAGATGGAGAGCGTTCAGACCATTCTGAGAAAGAAATATATTAGTATATATTAGTGATATACATTAGTGAAGTTGGTCATGCATTGGGATGTACTATGAGATAATGTTTAATCGTGCTCAATAGATGGGTTAAAATAATAAAATATTTCATCTTTTATCCTGCTTGTTCAGTTAGACATGAGCCCCTGAGCCCTTGATTTGAAATTCAGCTGATGCAGCAATAAGTTCTAAGCATGTTTATGTGTAGAACAGACTTATTTAATATTCTTGTTTAAGCCCAAGGAGGACAGACAATCACATGAACATTGTAGTTTCTTACCAAAAAAAACCCCCCAAAAAACTGACCTGATTGCAAATGTTAATCTCAACCCCAGACTTGAGGTAGTCGAGGACCTTTTCAAGGTTCCCTGCACGGGCAGCTCGCAGGTAACTGGCATTACTGTCAGACTGGGGGAGGAGAAAACAAAAACAGAAAAAGAGAAAGAGAGGCAGACAAGCGAGAGAGAGAGAGAAGGAGAGAAAGACAGAGAGACAGAGGAGGTGAGTATGTTAAGTCAGACTCTGGCCACATGCTTACCTGCATGATCAAACTGTTTCTAGCACACAGGAAGAGAAAAGCACATACAAATGCCAAAATCTTACTGTACCAGGTAGAACTCTGTCATAATCTCAGACATCCAAAAAATATCTTAACAGGGGAAAAAACAAAGCCAATATCCACACATACAGTAGGTCCACTGAAAAATCAATATAGTAAAGTCCATTGGTGTCTCAAATCAAAACGCTAAAACGTAAACATCTCAAAAAGTAAATCCATGAGAAAGCCAACAGAGCCCACAACATATGATCCCAACAATTCACGTCATCCTCCGTCAACCCTTCACATCCCACTGGACTGTTTTTCCAGCTTTGTTAAATCCAAATGTCTCTAATTCCCAAAGGTAGATGGTTCATTGACTGGTTGGTCCTTACAAATGCCACAGAGACCTCCTCTCTGGATTCAGATTTCCACTGAATCCACCAGTAAAGCAGTTGTGAGTCTATGATGCTGTGCTGCAAGAAGCAGAGCATTCTCTATTCTGCCTGGCTGTCCTTTATTTCACTACAGAAATAGGGCTTTGCACACCAAAATAAAATGATGAGCCAAGCATTTTTTTCGCCCTTATAACAAATGTGGTGTGCATGTGCATGTGCATGCGTGTTTGTGTGTGTGTGAGAGAGAAAGAGTTAGGGAGGTAGAGATATCAAAAGAAGAATGAGAGCAGATAAAGAAAAAGAGATGGAGAATGCTAAAAAGAGAGGAAAAAGAAAGGGAGGTTGTGCTTCTTTTCTGTTTTCATGTTGGCTCTAAGGACATGGGGTATGACATAAAATGACACACAGCAAGCTCTGCATATTTTGTCTTCCTTCTTCACATCAGCCTTGCAAAGAGCATTTTGTAAAACTCAGCAGCTGCTGAGAGCAGGAAGGAGAGAAGCTGTGATATGCTGCTCCATAATAAAGGCTCAAAAACCAAACACCCCTGAATTATCAAAAGCCCAGACCTGCTAAATTTAGCCTTGCATCCAGAGACACTTAGGATAAACTCAGTAGGGCCAAACGGTACAAGCGGTTATCCAACAATGTACACGCCACCTCCCCCTCCGCCATGCTTTTCCAGAAATAACTCTGACGAACATAGAGGGATCTGACCCAAAGCCAAAATGTGAGTGAACAAGACATCCAGAATCAGATTGTTCCACCGACAGGCTGTATAAAACTGTGAGAGGAAAATATTTGTATGTGTGTGTGGGCTCATGTGTATACAAACAAAATAGATGAAGTGGCGTTTGGTGGAAACCAAGTAATTTACTGATTACAAGAGACCATTAAGTTATAAGCTCATATCTCAGCCCACATCTAGAAATGTCTTTGTCCTTTTTCCATAACCCACTAATGATATTTCTGTTCTTATGGCCTTGAGAAAACTCAACAGACTGTGTCACTGGCACAGAGCCTGAGCCAGCACAAATATGAGCCATAGGTCAAGAACAATAACAACAAATATACAAACACAACCATCAATAGATGTACAAGTAACATCATAAGAGTGTAAAAAGTTTGAAGAAGCATCATAAAAGCTTAAGATTATTCAAGACTGGTTGCAAGCAATCAAGTGAGAGCAGCGGCTGCAAATGAATCATTAATATTGGCACAGCTGTGCTTTACAGGGAAAGACGCCATTGGCTGTGAAAACTCAAAAACACCCAATGCAGTGGCCTGAATTTTCTGTTGCCTAACTACAAAACATTTTAAAAACAGTATGAACTTCAGCCTCAGCACTCCTTTGCTTGTGTACTTTTAAACAGAATTTTAAGAAAAGGTGATCACATCACCACTGTTTTAGCTTCAGTACACTGGCTCCCAGTATGTTTTTGAATAGATTGTAAAATTTTATTGATTACTTTTGAGGCTCTCCATGGAATGCTATATCTCTGACCTTTTATTACCGTATGCACTGGTATGTACATAAAGATCCTCAGGCAAAGGTCTGTTGTCTGTTCCAGATGCCCATCTTAAAATTAAAGGGGACAGAGTGTTTGCAGTCAGGGCCCCGAGGCTCTTGAACAGCCTGCCCAAGGAAATCAGGTTGGCTTAGGCAGTGAGCTCCTTTAATTCCCTTCTTAAAACATACTTTTATAGGAGAGCCTTTCCTGATTTTCTTGACTTTATTTTTCTTTACTTTTAACTGTATTTTAAGTCCTTAAAAATATTATTATTATTGGTTTTACCTTAAAGACTATGTTCTGCCCTTGTGAAAGCACTTTGTAACATGGGTTCTGAAAAGTGCTCAATAAATAAAGATTATTATTATATTATTATTGATTGCATTGTGTCTCTATTATTCTGGATATCAACCAGAAGAAAAGACCAACATTTTTAATTTCCAACAGCGGTGAACAGCAAACTCACAAGAAAAATTAAAAAAGGCTACAAATCAAAAACACACCAGTAAATCCCAATAGCTCATCTAACAACACAATTCATCATCTAAATATGATTACATTCTATATCATAATTCAACATAATAGAACAAAGAATAAACAAAAAATAAAACAAAATACTCTCAGAATGAGGTTTTCTACTTGTTAGTCACGGACACCAAGAATCAGCGTCCTTCATGATGACCTGTTAGAAACACTTTGGCTCCCATCCAATCTAAACCTAGCTAGCAGGCAGCGCTCTGTCATCACAGTGTCACACCTCAACATTGTTATGGTATTTATCTTATTGTACAACATTTGTTGTTTTTAAATGCACACTAGGAATACATTTACATGACTTTCGGAAACATGACTTAAAGCCAGTTAATGACCAACTCCAACTTTAAGGTGATCTTAATATTTCAGTCAGAATATCACCAGCAGTTCAAGCTTCATCCCCAATTATTTCAAAGTCAAAGTCTCTCCACATAACAAATACGTATATGTGCAGCACATCTGCACACTGGTCCACATCCTAACAGTTGTCCTGTTTCTTACATAAGCGGCATGTGGCCTTAAGTGTGTGCCATGCCGTGTGGTGGATTCCTGTGTGACCCACGACTCTCAAGCTTTGTCAAGTGTCTCCAAATGCTTGACCGCTCTAAAACCTCTGACATGGAAATTCACAGGTCAAACTGCTGTGGACAGGCTGCATGCCTGACAGCTACTCAGTGATTTACACCACCAGATATTATGTAAGTCAAACATGATACATAATACTATAGTCTTGGACTCCTCTTTTAATCGTTCAGTGCAGTTTAATTGAAGACCACTGGTTGGCTTGTGCTGGCAGATGTATAGGGTTTTTGCAATAATCTTAAAATATCATGCAGTGCTCTTTGCTTCTCCTTCTGCATCTGCCGAAGCTTAAGTGCCAACAGATTAAGTAGTCTTCCTCCGTAATTCACTAGTCATTGCTCTCATCAGTTTATCCCTTAATGCCTGCAGTGTAAACCAGTGACCAACTTGTCCAAGCCTCCATCCTCATCCCGTCTATGACCAACATGAGGGATCTTTAAGTCTTTGTGAATGAAGCATCACACAGGACGGGGCAAGAAATTAGTAAGTAAGAAGGAATTAGTTCAAAGAAAACGGGGCCATTTAAGACTAGGTTAAGCCTGAAGGAAAGCATTAATCTAATGTTAGATTGAAGGGGGAGGATGAGAGAGACAGAGAGATAGAGAGAGAGAGAAATCTGACACACAAGTGATAACCGGAAAAGCTGAGAATAATAATATTCCCAATTACAGTCTTATAAAGTCAGAAATGCAGCTAATTTCTGAGTGAGTCGCTGTAAAATGACAATTAACCATCTCAGTTCTAATTAAAAATCCCCTTTGGTCACTGACTGGCGTCTGCAGATGCTCTTTAAAAGGGAGAGGAAAAACTGAAGCACTGCATATGAGTATTGAATGCTGTAGGGCTGTAATATTTAGATGTGATCAGATTACTGTACCTGTATTTGTGATTGTTAAGAGTCGGACTTTTCAATTAAAAGCTTTGAAAAATTAACAATCAATTAAAGCTCAATCTGTTACATCAACAAAAGGCAAACCCTGTAATACAGCCCAGCAGATATCAGCCGACATTGATGTGTGTTTAAAAGTTAACTTTTAAATATCCCACAAAAGACCCCCTAAATTTGTTTCTAAAGAATTGCGACCACGATGTGTACTGTGCGGGATATTTGCTGATGAAAAACGTAATTTGTCATGCGCCATGGTGAGTGATGGTAAAGGTAACACTGCTCATAAATTACCTCTGTACTGTTCTGTATCTTATTACTCATTGGTCAACATATACGCTCATACAGCATAACCCAATATTGGCCAATATATATCTATATATATATATGTTCTCGCTAATTTAACAATATAATAATTCTATCATATTAATGATCCATGCACCTTTCTGGCAACACTAATTTTGTAGAAAATCAGTAGAAGAAATTGTAAACAGTGGTGACACAGCTCAAGAAAGATTTTGGACAAATTTATTTTCTAAATATGCATTAATTGACTTTCTCTCCCTCTCAGACTTAATTAGCATTCCAAAATTTTCATTTTGATGTCCAAAGGTATATGTATTGTATGATTTACTTTTAGGATAAATTGATAAAGTATATTGGTTTCTTGTATATTAACTGCAAAATACAATATAATACATTACATAGTATGGAAGTATGTTGTATGGAATTCGGATACTGTATCTGTCATGATCTCAAATAGAGGCTGGGCAGTCAGTATGGAGACTGTTGCTGCACTGTGAGCTGCAGAGCGTTTGTTTTCATTTCTGCTGAATCTGTATTTGGCACTTCTTCTCCTCATGACATCAGTGCAGTGATAGTCTAGACGGATCAAGGATATTTAGGTGTATAAAGACCGATATCCCCCAGGCTGCCAGACTGTGATGATGTCAGTTTAG